GATGGATATTAGGTCACTTACATTCTCGTCCAGACCGGGCTTGAAGTCAAAGGCCCAGAGAAGCGTCGCAATCGTCAAGAACAGCCCTTGCTCGGCCAGGGGTTGCCCGCTGCACTGGCGGCGACCCCATCCGAAAGCATTGTGGCCCTGCTTGTTGGGATAAGGCCGCTCAAGACCGCCGAGGTAGCGCTCGGGCCGGAACTGGTCAGGCTCAGGAAACTCTCTTGGGTTTCGATGGATGGCCCACACATTGCCCGTGATAGGGGTGCCTTTGGGTATCAAGTAGCCCCGATATTCGTCGTCCTGAATCGGCGCGTGTGGGATCCCGCCGAGAATAGTAACGGTCCGCCACCTCAGTGTCTCGTTGACGACAGCTTTGATATACGGCAGAGACGCCTCGTCACTCCAGTCCGGGACTCGATCTTGGCCAACCACTCGATCTAGTTCTTCTTGAGCCTTCTTCAGCTTGTCCGGAAAGACGCACATTGCCAGGATGAAGGAGAGTATCGTTCCGCTGGTGGTGTCGACTCCGCCCCCGATGAGATTAGATGTGAGACTCGAAATCTCCTCGTCGGCAATATTACTTTGTTCTTGCTCCCTGAAGAGACGCTTTGCGAAGTTGTCCTCGGGGGCTTGAGCGCCTTCTTTCGACAGTGCGACAAAGTATCTACGAAAACAAAATCAGCCTGCACCTACCGAAGCGGAATTTTGTCGAGTGAATTACCTTTGCAAATGTTTTGCCATGGTGTTCATCTGGCTCGGCATGGGGTAGATCCAATTGAGCCATTTGGGCAGTTTGGCCAGGAAGGGGATCGATTCGACGATGAAAAGACCTGGGATAATGAGGTCGACCCCTTCCATGGCTTTGAGCGCCATCTGAGCGACATAGTCGTTGATCTTGTCGATGCGGCGACCCCAGCCAATGATAGAGACAATCGAGCACGAGTACCTCTCAACGCTCATGACAAAGTCATCTGGTTTGTCCAGCAGATCGCGCACCAGAAGCTTGGATTCGTTGGCCTGAATCGCGCGCCAAGGTCTTATGGCTTGTGAGCCCGTTGCTGAATGCTGCTCGAGAATAAGCTAAACGGTTCCGTGGCGAGACAATTCTGGACGTACCATTAGGCGACGATGAAGGCGCCACTTGTCTCCGTAAACAAGGCACACCTGGTTACTCTCTGTCGCATTGATCATGTCACCCATGGCGATCATATGAGGTCGAGAAGAGTAAATGTTTGCTCGCTTGTCGAGCAGATCGGATATTGTCCAGATGTCGTTGCACATAATGGTCGGTCTGTGGCCCTGCCAGATGGTGATCATGGGGTCCTTGTAGTATTCCGACCATTTCTCGAAGTCGATCCATGGCTTGACTTTGGGAATCTGGTAGAAGTTGCCAACAAGTGGCCAGGGGAATGGTCCAGGAGGAAGCTTTCGACGCAGTCGAAGGACTCGGATGTAGTCAACAAGGATGAATATCACCGGCAAAGAGATAACCCCAATGACCGCAGCCCGCAGGAGGCTGTAGGAGTCAAAGCTAAGTTCCGTGGTGCCCCGTGCACCCGACAAGTTCTGGAGAACACCCATTTTGCTTCTCTGGCTTCAATAACAGACCAGAAACAGCCTTGGACAATACTGCAACAGAAATAGTCCACATGTCCTCTCTGTCTTTGAAATATCCAGCAGCATAAGTAGAGAGCACGGCCACAGGGTCCCACATGATTGATGTTCTGCCTGGATGATCCTTCGAGACAACAAAAAAGACGCCCACATGAAGTCGCCGACGGCTGAATCTTTCATGTGGAGAAGGGATTCTGAATCCGTGCCACGCCTCCAGGCTTTGTTCGTGGAGAGGCTTGTGGGGTTGACGAAGCGTCTCCAATGCTTCAGCAAGGCCAAGCCGAGATCCGGGGTATTTTCCGTGCTTTCGTACCTTGTACCTCTCGGCAGTTGAGGGGGCATTGCGCAGCTGAGCTTGGTGGTCGTCTGGCGTTTGCAGTCATCTTGTCTTGATAAATGGCGGTCAAAAGCTGGGGGATTCTCCAACAACCTTGAGCATCGTTTGTGTGTTACAACCAGCATTTCGGCCATCAAGCGAGCTGCAAAGAAGCCGCCCACAGAAACATGGCCCAACTGGAAGGCTTCCTCACACGTTACGCTACCACCCTCTCACCTACGATCCTGATTGGGAGTTTGGTGGGGCTTTGGGTTGTGTACAATGTCTTTGTCGCTCTTCGAGACCCCCTGCGGTCGGTGCCTGGACCCTTTTTGGCCAGGTTCACAAGGCTGTGGTACCTGAGAGAGGTAGACTTCTTCCAAACTCAGAGATGATCGTCGTTGATCCTGACATCTCCAGGTGGCTCGAGGTCGATTCGAGAGGACGAATATTGCGCTCCATAGGAAATATGGTACTGAACTTGCACCTTGCCGAATTCTTCGCTGTGATTTTCAAGCTGATCTTGCTAGGACCGATTGTGCGAATTGCTCCAAACTATTATTCCATCGACGACGCAGACGCCATCAAGACCATTTACGGCCATGGGACAAACTTCGTCAAGGGAAAATGGTACATCGCCTCCAACAACCCCAAGAACAAGCATCCAGATCTCTTCACCGACCTCAACCCCGAGTCCCATGCCATCAACAGGCGCAATGTCGCGTCGTTGTATTCGATGACGAGCTTGGTCGCTATGGAGCCGAATGCTGTGGCGTGTGCCGAAATCCTGGTCCAGAAATTCACCGAGTTCGCAAAGAGTCACACCCCTATCAACCTGCAAGTCTGGCTGCAATACTGTATGTACCGTCGAATCTGTGCTGGAGCTGCAACACGAAATATCTTCACAAAAGTCTCCTGGCTAACGACACATCAGACGCTTTCGATACCATAGCACTCATCACGGTAGGTCAAGCCTCTTGAGGTTCGCTCCACCTGGTCTGCTGAGGTTAACATATTTCCAGCTCAGCAAACGATTTGGCTTCTTGGACACCGGCAAAGACAATGGCAATATGATCGCTGCCCTGCACTCCTACCTCCTTTACCTCTCAAAAGTGGGCGTGTACCATGAATGGCACTATTTCCTCAACTGGATTTTGTCAATGTTGCCCAATGGTGGAATGCACTACATGGGCACGTTCATGCAGCAGCAGGTTCTGGAAGGTCAAAGACAAAAGTCCAAGAGCCTTCTGGAGAAAGACGAGTCGAAGCCAACAGACGACTTCTTGACAAAGCTGCTGAGGATGCACGCCTTGCAGCCGGATAAGTTTCCCATGGAATCAGTGTTCTCGACCTGTGGGACGAATATTGGTGCCGGGTCAGATACCACGTCGGTCAGCCTGGCGGGTATTTTGTACCACTTGATGAAGGCCCCTGCCGTGCTGGAGAAGGTAAGACGAGGATGAGTCTTGCAGAGCTCAAAAACTCCTTGGAGATCCATAATATTCTGCGTGTGGACGACCAAGCGTGCTAACCGCGTGTAGCTGCGACAAGAACTCGACCAGGCGATCGAAGAGCGCGGGTCAAACGACATACTTTCCTTCCAAGAAGCACAGAAACTGCCCTATCTCCAGGCCGTCATCAAAGAAGGCCTTCGCTGCCATCCCGCAACTGGTCTCCCTATGGTCCGTGTCGTTCCCAAAGGTGGCGCCAACATTGCTGGGAAGTATTTCCCCGAGAAGGTGAGACTTCAGCTTCCTCTCCCGGTACTCAGGGGAAGGACTCTCTCAAAGTAGTAGTGCTGATGTCTTGAGCGACAGACCGAGGTCGGCGTGAACAGCTGGGTCGCACACTCCAACAAGAAGATCTTTGGCCCAGACGCTGAAGAGTTCAGACCCGAGCGCTGGCTTGAGTCTCCTGAGAGAGCTGCAGAGATGACTCGCTATAACCTCACGGTAAGTGAGGCGTTCACCAAATGCCCACCCTCCCACTTGTGTTCTCAGGCTGATGTTGTCGAATAGTTTGGAGCTGGATCCCGGACCTGCATCGGTAAAAATATCAGTCTGCTCGAGATCTCAATCCTGATCCCCGAGCTGGTGAGGAAATTTGATTTCACACTTGTGGATCCAAACAGGCCACTGGAGATAGAGAATGCCTGGTTTGTCAAGCAGAAGAACTTGGACTGTTATGTGAGTTTGAGGAAGTAGCATTGAGTCTTCAAGCGTCCAGAGTTTGCCGAAGCAATATAGTGGGATATCATGGATCAATATATCAAGTTTCGCGGTTGCGAATTTGCGGAGACTGACCTTGTGGAAGTCGACGCACTCTATATCTGAGGCTGGAGTGTGTGACCCTCTTGTCCACAGTATTGCGCTGAGAGCCGAAAGTTGCAACTTGTGTCGATACAAACTTGGGTGTCTTAACAAGCTGCCTGGGGGCCACCCACCAGACCAGCACCACCGTTCAAGCAGGACTGTGGACAGCCTATCGTAAAGAGGCCCATCGGGCTGCGGCTAGTTACGACTTCTGGGGAATCCCGAGGCAGTCAACCCCATCGACTTGCCTGTAGCGTGTAAAGGTAGCTGCCTCCTGACCAAGGCAGCAAGGCTGAGGTCTCTGTAGGGGCGAGGATCCCACGCCAACGAAGGCAGCTCTAATGATTGGCCCAGACCTCCACGACCAGGGGGCAAACAGCTGGCCAGCCTATCGTTGACCTTTGTCGCGCTGCACAGCCTTTAAGCAGTGACCGGGGTACCACAGCCTTTCGAACAAAAGTCGTTGACAGGGATATATAGACCTGCGCCCTAATGCTGGAGGGAAGATGCTCCTCCCCATACCATCATCGACAGCAGTCACCGCGACAAAGTGATCCAAGAGACCCAGCATCAACACACAATACCATTTCCTGCATCACCCTTCTCTTGTTCAGCAAACCTCTTCTGCAAACCAGACAGACTCTTCCCCCGGCTTCGTGTGGATTCAGCCTTGCAGAACGCCTCCAAGCAACCTGAAGCAACCTAGCCGCCTACTAGACCCCTCCAAGGACACCGCCACACTCAAAGGATCCAGGATGGCTCTCACACTAGACGGCATCATGACTATTGTGTTTGGTGTCTTCATGGCCATCATGTCTCTTGTGTCGTTGTGGCAGGCGGCACACTTCGCCGCACGTGGTCATCGAAGTGAGTCCGACGCCGTCTCGATCGATGAGGCCTTCGAACTAACCGAAGTGTAGCTCGCGACCCTCGAGTCAACAGCTTTGAACTGGAGGCATGACTCTGATGGTGGCGGCATTGTACAACATCACCTTTGACAACAATAGCATCAGAGCGGCATTCTTCATCAAATATCCAGCCACGGTGTTGTGGTCATGAGGAGGTACTGGAGGGGGCAATGGCGTCAAGGTGTTTGAAGATTTGTCCGCTACTGGGTTTAGTTATGCTTTCCGCCAAGGTCCATCCCGTTTGCCTTACGACAAGCTGGTGAAGCACAGGGAATCAACAAGGAGTTTGCTATTCACAATGGAAGGACGAATCAGATGGCACAGCATAGAAGTGAGCCGATTTGGCCTCGCTAGGTAGAAGCCAATCCAGCCATGATTCGCACCCAGCATATTCTCGCAGACACCATCCATAACACAGAGGTTGGAACTGGCAGATAATATTAGAATAGACACTACCTGTTTGATCTGTTCAGATTCGTGACAAGGTCATCAACACCAAAACATTTTCTCATGTTGGTGATTTTTGTGTACGATCCCCCAACACCGCATTCCACCAGCCATGCACGTTCTGGACGGGGACCAACCAAGGAAAAAAGGTCTGTACAATAACCGACTCTTCACTCGCGATATATCTCAATCTCCCTGTGCCACCATCGCTAGCATCGTGGAGAAACTGCAGCTCCTATGATCCGTACTCCTTGTCGTGAACAAAGCTGCCTCTGCTCCTTGTGCTCCTACTCCTTCGGCCTCGGAACGTGAAACCTCGCGACTTGGTTGTTCTGGGTTCGCGACGTGAGGATCCGCCCATACAGAAGAGGACGGTGCAAATCAAGAAGCACGCAAATGCAGCCCATTCAAACCCAAAGGCGTACTTTCCAATGTCGGAAGCTTGACCGTTGTTTCGGAAGTTGTTGCGGCCTTTGACGTACGCGGCGCTGTTGACTCGTTAGCACACTTGCGCATGGCACACAGCATACATGGACTCACGTCATAAGAGATGCCTGGATTGCCTGGAAAAACATGGCCAGCATGCTCAAGAGACCACTGAGATAGGAGCCCAATCTGGTGCACAGGGCGAGAAGGCCAGTAAACAACGCGCAAACGCCGAAGAAGAGCGCAATGAGCATGAAAGCAAACATGAAACGAGTCATCAAGAAGTAGTACCCATGACGCTCAACAAAGTTCCGAGGGACATTCACCGTGGTGTCAAAGGTTCGGTGAGACGCAGGGTCCAGTGGAAATGCCGGATGTACATCTGAGTAGTGCTGGTCGCCGCAACGTGTGCGTCCGTTCTGAACACCGCACACGTTCCAATATGACCATCTTGACACGGGAGGAGCTCCCGGAATATTTGCGGTATCTGCTTGTAGAATGTAGAATTTGTTGACAGGGCCATGCTCAACTGCGCCCGCGAGGAGGATGAAGAACATGAACAGAAGGCCAGCGGCGAGGAGGATTAGCGATGCCAGGCCAAAGAGACCGTTACCTGTGACGCGGCAGTCAGTACGAGGTGCCTCGGGATCGTCGTCTGCAGGACCAAGCTTCACTTACGGGACGCCATGGCGGCGCAGTGAGCTTGAGGGTGGCTGGAGCTTGCAGCAGAGTGCCCAACGGCGCGACGAGATACGAAATGTAGAGAAGGGTGGCCTGGAGGGACGGTTTAAAAGGTGGGAGATGTGTGTTGGGAGCGATAGAGGAAGCAAGCGCGGGGTGTAAAGAGTAGATAGCGGTGGTGTGGGAGGAGAAGGTGCTCTTGTACTAATGCAGCAGTGGTAAGAGAGCAAGAGAGCTTGTGATTTACGTATGTTGGTCGCTCGGTATGCAGGCAGTAGATGTAATGCAGTGTCTTGGATGAGGTCACCCAACCAAAGGAACCAAAGGAACTGACCACCCACTAGAGCTTGGATCCTTCCTGTCTCTTGGAGTGACAGCCGACTACTGGAGGTACATTTACCGGAGAGCTTGGAACGCTGTGGAGAGGGACCAGGATAGGGAAGCCGGAGAGGGCCATACGTAGTGGTACTGCAAAATTGTTGGAGAAAGTTTAGAGGGCACCCACAGCGCCCAAGACGGAGAGTACAGGGACGGACAATAATGATGGCCTGCCCCCAAGACTCAAGCGCAGGCCCCCCACACCGACTCCAAGGGCATCAACTTTGGCTCCAGGGCTTTCCCGTGGACACTCAGATGCCTTGCTTGGGTGGGCGATGACGCACCTCCGAGCAAACTGAGGTTAGAGGTCCAACACTGTAGCGCAGCATGCTGCAGCACAACAATTCACCACGTCATCAACAAATGCTCCACTTAGTACCACCATCAGGCAATACTAGTTCCTAACATGGCTAGTATCCGTGATGGGCTCCAATAGCTGAAAACTCTGATCCTCGCCAATCCTCCCATCTTGGCCAAGCTGGAAAAACACCGGTCCGCAGTCTTGCAGTCTCACATTCTCGCAGCTTCACTGGTGATGCGGTGACCCTTTGGTGCCATCACCTGATATCGGAACCATCCTTCCACCTGGAGCCAGCCTTGCTTCCTCGGACAGTACTTTGCAATTCACTCATTATTGTCCTGCTTCCCCATGTTTAACACATCTTTTATTTTCTGACTATCGAGGTTTCCACAATGTCCACATGGGTCTATCCTCCATTACCTCCCGACGAGCTTCGAAAGGCCGAGAATGACTCTTTGGTATGGTTGAACAAGTGACAAATTGTCCATACACTGACTTGCCCTCAGAAACTTGAGCTGCGATGGCTCCTGGAGTCGCTGCAACGTGCCTTGCCTGCTCTCAAAGAAGCTCTGGAGGAATGTGCTGCACTGTTGGCGCCGAAAGAACCCGGATCGACACTGGTCCTGTCATCACTCAGATCCGAGAGTGTAAAAGGCTTTGTAACAAGGGTTGGCACCAAGCTTCTCAAAGGCGTACGCTGGCCCCCTAAAATTCCCCGAACCTACCTGGTCTGAAAGCGTTACAGGACATCCATCTTCGGCTGACTACGTTGCCACCAAATACCCCAAGAGGTACCACTACTTCCACACCCTCGACTCGCTTGATGTTCCATTCCTCCTCTTCATCTTCCGAAATTGTCCTCTCTCAACTGTCAGCCGTCAAGTCTTTACTCAATGATTCACTCGACGTAATCGATGTGTCAAGGTGGACCGGCCAGTCGACTGACTCCTCCTTCATCTCGGGCCAATTGAAGTTGCTACATGACCATTTGCGTGAAGCCAAGGCCTATTTGAGAGGTCCAGTGACCGGTGCCGATATCTCCTCTATCCCAGGGGCTGAATGGTGGCTAAATAGCCCCGATGAAAACGTGTTCCAACCACCGTTGGGTGAAAACCTCAGTTTGCACTTTACGATCCAGGAAGCCAATCTTGTTCTCACTGTCCGAACCCTCGCTCCAACTTCCCCTGGTGGAACTCCCAGCACCCCTTCCGAGGGATCTTTCTCGCTCTCTGGACTCAACCTCAGGACGAGGTTACTGGGGCTAGGTCCCAAGCCTCCAACTCACGACGAAATGGGTGAAATCTTTGAGTGGCGCGGACGGCAAGATGTGATTGTCCGCGAAAAGGTTCGAGTGGAGACGAGCGATCCCAGTCTGCTTAGCATTGCCGCAAAATTGAGTGCGCTGGAGCATGAGGTTGGCCGTTGGAGGATGAATCTTCGCATCATTCTGACGGGCAGTACTGAGGAGGATTGAATTGGATACGCCATCAAGTTTGTGTCTTGCTTCGACTACTGCACGTTCCGCAAAGGCTTGGTTCACCAGTCGACGCTGTGATCTTCACGGTCCATACTCCATACAATTTCCATCCGAAGCCGATAGTCTGGTGGAGCGTTTCACGTGATGTGCAGCTTCGTTCGCGCCAAAAAGTCAAACCTGCAGCGGGACTTTGCCAGTTTTGGCCGTTAGGGAGTTTGGTGCTCCCCAACCTTGCATCCAAGTGCTCCCGCATGTTGCACTCTTACAACCTCAACCTCAGCTGCTCGTTCTCTTCTTGCGATGCTCCGACCAAGGCGCATTCCCTCTCGGCTCGAACAATGGCCTTCAGCGCAGAAATAGCACACTTTGTGCGCTTCCCCTCTCGCGCATAAAGACGAAGTCTAAAATGGCAGCACAGGCGTCGTTGAGGACAAAGACTGTTCCTCCTCCCGACAGTCCTTTGTTCTCGACAGAACCAAAAAACCTGGGCCGGGTTTTTGTTCCTTGCTTTCTTCGACACAGTCTTACCACAAGTAAATCACACGTGGGTACACATATAACATGGCCCCCGAAGTCGTCAATGGGTTCGCCGTGGTTGCAGATAAGGAGCGATCTTCTTTAACAAGGATATTCCATCGACGATTCAGCTCTTCGAGTAAAGTCAACACCAAAATGTCAACTTCCAATACAGGTATGGAGCAAACAGGCGCTGTCCAGAGCGAAAGTTCTGCTCGGATTGAGACTACAAGACCACCTCACCTTCGGCGCCGGATTACGATTGGCGGTTCGGGTCAAGATGCTCAAGCTGCCCAACACACGTCTTTGCCAACAGACACAAGGCATGCCTCAACAACTCTTCAAGGCGGAGGATCCGGGTCCCTAACTGCGAAATGCCATTATCCTCCCACGAGCTGGAGGCCCACTCCACCTGCTCAACTTACCGTTTCGGATGTTGAGGGAAACCATCTGTCAGGAAGCGGTTCAAACGGTGAAGACGATGGGACTAGGAAATCATCCACGACTGTCCAAGTCGCAGGATCTCATCTCAACCCTCCTCCCTCAAACAGTACGATGACTGCCAGTTCGCCGGAAAAAGCGAGGGGCCCTCCAGCATCATCCAATGGTGAATATCGATCTTCTCCGGCTCGACCAGGCTCTCGTCGCCGCTACAGTATAATCTCGTCCATGTCCACCAACTCAACAAACGCAGGAATCTCACCGACTAGAACGACCGGCGGATCAACTTTAGGTCGGCGAGCTTTTGGTGGAATCGCCACTCTGCCAGATCCGAGGACTGTGTATGCTCACACGTATCACTACACGGTCTGTGCTCACACATCACCTCCGATGTCCCGACCCCTCAATGTGCAGCCTAAACTCGTGCGGTACAGGGAAGGACTTCTGGCGTATCCCCCATTTCATCTGCGTGGGTACAATGCTGATCAATCAATTGCACCTCCCACGATCTACATCCTGGATGGATCGTGCTCCGACTGTGACATCAAAACACGACGCCACGCCGAGTCAAAGGTCCTGTCTAGATACTCCCATCAGCTGGAAAATCTTTACATCCAGCTGAGTCTCGTTCAGAAGGACATCGCCAACAAGAACCACGACGTCTCGATTCCTGAAAAAAGCGACAGCGCGGTAGCCATGTTTTCATTCCCATCGACCCTAGAACTGGAGACCGAGGCGACCCAAGCGATTCTGGAGATCGAGGATCAGCTGGACCAATTGATCAGTAGCCGTGATCGTGAGGTTAGACAGATTTGGAACGGATACACTGCGAGGTGGGGTCCGGCAACAGTCGGAATTCATCGCGAACACAAGACTCGCGAAAGAAGTCAAGCAAGAGCCGCCGTCACATCGGACAACATGTCTCAGGACACTGCAGCCTCATCAACCGGCTTCGATGTCCCTTTAAGTGATCACAGTCCCGGCCGAAGTCGCACGATGACCACACTGAGCACGAAACCAGCCTCTCACGTGAGCCGAAATAGCAGTTCCGATACCCACGCGCGCACCAGATCTGTCGGCGGTCCACAGGAACGATATTCGGACGGAACATATGGACTTAGCGTCGACTCGTCAGTGGATGGTGTCAAAGGACGGGGTCGTATGGTGGTCGATTGGATCCGGCCGTCACGACGGGAAGGTAGGAGCAGGAGTGTCGCCAGGGCGACAAGCCGGACAAGCAGTCGAAACGTGCCAGATAAATGAAAACGAGGACAATCAACGAGGAACATGGGATGCATATCTTTTGGAATTTCACACCATGGGCAATCGGGAGAGTCGAGACATGCATCCATTTGGGTAGGTATATTTGAAAGGGACATTTAACAAAACGCCAATCACAAAGGGAAAGCAAGGCTGGGTAAAACAAAAGAAACGCGGATTTATTGCCATTTTGAAGATGGTTTTACAAGGGGCTGTCATATTCGGGATATACCACAAAAGGGAGGGAGGCATTCTGCGACAATTGTCATGGCGGCGGATCATGTATGTGCAATGAATGAATGTCACGACCAACCAGACCGGACGTCGAAACTGGGAGGGAACTACCAGCATACCACCATTTCAGCAAGAGGGATAGCGAAGCTGGAAAGAATGAAAAGGGAAAACCGACAAAAAAGAAAACGGACCGGACAGATTTACTCCATGTATATAGATAGCATTCAAGAAACGAACGACCGACGACAATGATGAATGATGATGACAACAATAACAGCTATAAACGATGAAGAACGCGAATTCTGGATCGAGTGGCACACTGTCTTTTGGATTTTTATTATCTATTCTAGTAGACCATTCAAGCCATTTTGCCACTCGGTTTTGTTTTCCAGGTTCTTCGGGTATGGATTATCTGTCTATCTACTTAGGTACAGGTACGTGTAGGGATGGAGAGGTATAAATATAGATATTGATAAGGAAGCCATCGTGCCTCGTCGCTCTTACCCCTTTTCTCTCTTCGTACATGGCCGGATTGGCAGGCAATGGTCTTGTCGAGGTGTTCGTGCTTGTAGATGGATGGATGTATAGGTGGATAGCTCGAGATATTCTGGGTCGGGTTGGTTGGGGCTGAAGTACTCAAGCTCAAGCAGAAGCAGAAGCATGAGTATGGGTTTGAGCCTGTTCCATACCTTCTTGTAGCCTGTGACCGGGTCCCGGATCGCTCTCTCAGAGAGACACAGAGAGAGTGAGAGAGACAAGGCACACCAGGAGAGAGTATTCACAGTTCCCAGCCAGGGTGTACACAAAGGCATCAACTCTCTCAAGACTACAACTTCGCCCGTCCCTGGTCGATGCGCCGCCAACTCTCGGCGTCCAGCTCGCGAAACCGCTCCGCCTCGAGGTCGAGGTAATACTTCCTCGCATCGGCCTGTCCGCTGGTGCTAGTGACCGTAGGAGCCCCCCAGTCGATGTTCTTGACGACCATCTTGGCGTGCTTGAAGGTGTCGCCGACGTCGACGAGCTGGTCGCGCACCATTACGAGACGGGGCACGGCGTAGCGCGGCACGCCTTTACTCCGAAGGGCTTTGAAGAGATTGTTCATGAAGGCTTGCTCGCCGGGTCGGGACGAGGTCGAGGTCTGTTTTTCGTTGTTGTTGATGGCCGGGTCGAGCACAATCAGAGCCGTGCCCGCTTGGCCGTCGTACTTGGCGAGGCGCTTGCCGACTACCACGGCGTCCTTGACGAACGGCAACTCGGAGATGAACGCCCTGACTTCGCCGGCTGACACGTTCTCGCCCATCCACCGATACGTGTCGCCGATGCGGTCGACGAATCTCACCCAGTTGTCGCTCTCCTGGACGAGGAGGTCCCCACTGCGCTGGAACAGGTCGCCCTTTTCGAACACGTCTCGGAGCATCTTGTTCTCCGTGGCCGACTCGTTGTTGTGGTAGTTTGTGTAGGTCGCGAGATTGCGGATGCGCGCAATGGCCTCACCGGCTTCGCCCTTGGGGCACACGATGCAGAAGCCCGTCGTGGGGTCGCGGACCGGTGACTCGGTATCGTAGTCGAACCGGACGATGAATTGGTCCTTCTCCAGAACCTTCTTCCTCAACGTCCCCATGTAGCCGACCTTGCCAGCGCCCGGTTTGCCGGCACGGTGGATGTTGTCGAACTTGACCAGGCCCTCGGTGGAGCGGTAGAATTCGCGGACCTCGCGGACGTTGAAGCGATCTTGATAAGCCACCCAGACGTCCTTTTGCAGCCCGTTACCCAGAGCGACCTTGACATTGTGGTTCCTGTCGTATGGCCCCGCAGGTGTAGTTAGGAGGAAGCGACACAGTTCACCGACATAGAGAACCCTCGTGGCGCGTGATTCGTGCACGTCCTTCCAGAACCCGCGGGCCGAGAACTTTCTCGCGAGGCAAAAACAGCCGGCCTGCCCCGCCGAGTAGCACAACCCGGTGAAGAATGTAGTACCGTGGAAAAGGGGCATGCACGAGTACGTACGGAGACCCTGGAGGTATTTCTTGGGGTTGGAGGCGTCGGCCGAAGACGTGCACGCGACGGCACAGATGAGACTGTTTTTGATGCTGCATGCCTTGGGTTTTCCCGTCGTGCCCGAAGTGTAGATCAGGGCGGCGACAGAGCTCATATTCTTGGGTGGTGTCGGCGGCAAGGCCGACGATGGTGATATGGACGGGTCCGGGAAGGGAAAATCCATGATACTCCCCTTGTCGCTAGGGAGTGGCGTAGGTCGAAAAGAGCCCAGATTCAGCCTCACGGTCTTGACATGGCCGCCATCCATCGATTGTGCAGCGGACGCTGCGTAGCCAGCCAGATCTGGGGTGCTGAGAATTAGGGGTGAATCTGGTAGCCGCACGCAATGAAGTAATGTATCGTCTCTCAGGGCGCTGTTGATCAAAGCAGGCGCTGCTCCCAGCCTCGTCAGAGCATAGATGGTGGCGACCATTTCGGGCGAGTTCGTCATGAAGACGGCAACGATGTCTCCATCCTTGACCCCCAGACCCTGGCTCAGGCCGAGGGCGAGTTCGTCCACCTGGGCCTTGAGTGCCCTGAAGTTCCACGAGCGACCTTCAAACCACAACGCATCTGCATTTGGGTCGCAGAGTTCCAGCATGCGATATAGGTGAGGCGACTGAGCACCGAGCTTGTCGGCGAATTGGAACAATCGTTTCACAAAGGACTGTTCCTGGCGGTATTGACGGATGTCTCTGCTGACGCCGATGCGGTGGTCGGCGTAGTAGAGCAAACCTGCGGCGGCGGCAGTGGATGCCGCTATAGAGGCCATATTGAGCAGTGAGCTTCACCAGTTGCCCGAATCGCTGACTTTAGATTGAATGTGAATGAAGAGAGATGTTAAATTTGAACCAAGCTGAATCCAAGGACACCTCCGAACACGCAGACACAGTAATACTCCTTTCCCGTCAGAGGTGCCGTGCCTCGGACGTTTCTTGATGCTGGCTGGGTGTATCTCACTCCTGCATACAAGTGCCGTAAGATATTCAGCCTAAGTCAGTTTAGGGTTAGAAGTGCCCCCCGAAGCTGACTATGCTTCTCTCGGGAGCTCGGCCGATGGGCGCGAACGAGGCTGGAATGATCCCTCCGGCGCGGTACGGGCGTAAAGACACTTTTGGGATCTCAACTAAAGTGCCTCGGCCGTGCAACAAGGAGAGCTGCGTACGAGTAATACTCGAGGTGGCAGTTCGGAAATTTGGTCGTGGTGGTTCGGATGCTCGCCCCTATAGACTAGAGGCGGTTCCCCGGGCCGAGAAGAGTTGGAGAACCCACGTCAGCGCAGGTGAGCGAATGAGTTGCGTGGCTACAACGGTGTCTGGGAAAGCCCCACGGGGGAGACGCAGGTAGAGACAAAGAGAGGGCAGGTTGGGAGATAAATATCAAGGAAGGTCGGGGGAGAGAAAAGACAGGGGAAGAGAGGGTGAGAATCCCACACAATCCTGTATTCTTTTAAACTCGTTCCTTCGTCTGTTTGTCCCATCAGTCATGTATCCAGGGGCTTCAATCACACTTGCCGATTCCTCTGAGTATCTGTGGTCTGTGGTCCAGGGTCACTGGGTCACTGGGTCAACCTTGGGATGTGGAGGTGGGGCCGGTGGCTGCCATTCTAGGGAGTTTTGTGCTGGTCAATATCAGTAACAAAGAATCATGCAGGGCTGTGTGTCATCTAGCAGTGCATGTGCAGAAGACAGCAGAAAAAGGGAGACGATTGAGGCCCAAGGTGACCGCGGTACTTGTGGTAGTTGTCATGGTAGTTGTGGTGATTCGTACGAAAGAAAATGTTTTGAGGTCCCGCATCAACTGCCGGGGGCTCAAAGTCCGAAAATGCCGAGGCCTGATTCTTCGAATGATTTATGTTGCTGCTTTAAGCCACTTGAACAACCACATGCGGTGCTGATGCTGCCGATGCTAATGATTGAGGTGGGAGAATTAATTACTTATCCTTCTGCTATTGTAAAAAGGTTCTTCAGAGTCGAATTCCATCCTCTTCTCTTGTCTCCTTTCTTCCCGTTACTTTATCCTCTTCATCACATCTGACACAATGAGCGCCCAACGACGGCTCGACGCCCTCTCCGGCCAACTCTCCTCCACATCCACCACCACTCACTCCCCAGGCGTCCAGAAGATTCTGGAGAAGCACCCCGACGACATTGTCATCACATGTGCCACACGCACGCCTCTCACCAAGGCCAGAAAGGGCGGGCTCAAGGACACCGCGACTGATGAACTTTTAATCCACGTCCTCAAGGCCATCAAGGACAAGTCCGGCATCAACCCGGACGTCGTCGAGGATGTCTGTGTGGGGAATGTCCTGCAACCAGCCCCAGGCTTCGTCGCACGGAGCGCCGTTCTCGCCGCAGGTTTCCCTGTCGCCACAGCCGCTCACGTCGTGTCGAGGTTCTGCTCGTCGGGTCTGTTGAGCATCCAGACCCTCGCCAGCTCCATCGCCATTGGCTCGATTGACGTGGGCATCGCCGTCGGGCTGGAGAGCATGTCTACCAACAGAGACGCCCCACCCTCGATGAGTGAGGCGATCATGTCCCACCCGGTGGCCCGGGACAATGTGCAACCGATGGGATGGACGTCAGAGAACGTCGCCCGCGACTTCCACATCACGCGCGAGGAGCAGGACAAGTTCGCCGAGAGGTCGCACAACCGCGCCGAACGAGCCCAGAGAGAAGGCTGGACCAGCGACGAGATCAGCCCGGTCACGACCAGGTGGATCGACCCCAAGACCAAGGAGACCAAGACCGTCACGGTGGACAAGGACGACGGCATCAGACCGGGCACCACGTACGAAGGGCTGGCCAAGATCCGCTCCGCCTTCCCGCAATGGGGCCCGACCACCACGGGCGGCAACGCCTCGCAAGTCACCGACGGCGCGGCCGCTGTGCTGATGATGAAGCGCTCGACGGCCCAGAAACTGGGCCAGCCCATCATCGGCAAGTACGTCAAGAGCACCGTGGTCGGGCTGGAGCCGCGCATCATGGGTATCGGGCCTAGTTTTGCGATTCCCAAGGTTTTGGAGAAGACGGGCCTGACAAAGGAGGATGTGGATCTGTTTGAGATTAACGAGGCGTTTGCGTCGATGGTGAGCACACTCGGACCTCCATCAAAAGCATCATGACACTTTTATTAACAAAAACCAATAGTATGTCTACTGCGTCAACAAACTTGGTCTGGATATCGAAAAGGTCAATGTCCGAGGCGGTGCCATGTGAGTCTTTTTTTTCCCCTCCCCATCTCTCCATATCGCTCTAATCCCATCCATTTCTGCCTGGAACTGGAAAACATCGCTTCTTGACAACCAACCAACTAACACAAATCTCTTCAGCGCCATCGGCCACCCCCTCGGCGCCACGGGCACCCGTCAAGTCGTGACACTTCTCTCGGAGCTGAGACGGCGCAATCAAAAGGTCGGGGTGACGAGCATGTGCGTCGGCACGGGCATGGGCATGGCGGGCGTGTTTGTCTCGGAAGCATAGTGAGAGTCCCCGGGTCCAGGTTTCGGCGCTGGTGCTGGGTGAGAAAAGCGAATATTGTTGGTGGCGATCATATACATTATATCATATCATGTCATGTCATTCATCCCATCCCATCCCATCCATTCAGCACAGTACAGTACAGGATATCCGTCGCCGACGAAAACCTTTGGTAGGTAGAATTCGTGATTCGAATCGCGCTTCTTGCCGAAAAATTCGAGATGTCATCTCTCCAGCAGATGGATGATGGAAATAAATTGGGACTTGGCTTTTCAGGGTGGGGGGTACACGAGTTTGGGTGGTGAGAAAGAGCATGCATTTGCCATACGGTACGGTGTCAGGAATTATGGAACGGATCTCGGGGCATGGATTGGATTGGGTATGGGCACGAATACTACAAGGTAGGGAAGGGCAGGGCCGATACTGTGGACGCCAGACCTGATTCTTATTCCCTGTCCTGCACCCATCCACTCATCATGGAGGACGTTCCACAGGGGAACTGTGCCGTTTAGAGCATCTTTCGACCCTCTTGACGTCCCGGCTTCGCTCGACTTGTGTTTACGGGCCAAATTCAACCAGCAGTCTTCTTAATCGTCCTTCTCCAGGTCTGAGCGAGAACTAAGTACCGACCCACAGACCTCCTCCACCTTTTTTTCCCCTTCTGTTCCTGTCATTCTATTACCAATGTCTCTCTATTCCTTTGACGGGTCTGCATCGCCGTAAAACTGTTTTTTGTCCATCTGCATCTCGTCGTCGGCGACGCCGATCGTGGCGAAATACTGAGCCCGGACCGGCATGATTAGCCACATACATAACGACACGTACAGGAAATACAGAAGCTTTGAAAAAAGGAGTTTGAGGCTTTTTGAGAGATGGACCCCCAAAAAAGGACAACACTTACAGCCATGGCCTTGCGATTTGCCTCGGGGTTCATGGGCTTGCCCTGCTCGTTCATGGTGGCCAGGAGGCGGAAGTAGTTGATGTAAAACGCCGGCGTGTACGTGTTGAAGAACTTTGCTTCCTGGTCGTACGGGTTGCTAAAGGTGTGCGGCGACCGCGGCGGCACCGTCACGTAGTCGCCCAGCTTTGCGTCGACGGTCTGGCCGTTCAGGGCGTGGAAGCGCAATGTCCCCTGGGTGACGAGGAAGGTTTCGTCGTGCTTTTAAGCCCAGAGGAACAGAGGGAGGGAGAAGAAGTGAGCGGAATATCTCCCTGAGCAAAGCAAACAGGGAGGAAAGAGATGTGGAGTGATGAGCGGGTTTTCTGTGTTTACCATTTCATGCCAGTGTGGAGGCGGTCTTTGTTGGCATCCTCGTCAGCTTCACTCATACCACCCTTCAGGACAACACTCGTAGTCTTTTGGAGCCTTACCCAGAAGTATGAGGAGGGACGGTGAACTCGGCGCTGGTGATATCGACGTCAACACCGTATTGATTCCTTGGTTGTGCCAGGAGTGATGGTGGAGGGATATCACCACAGCTCCATCCATTGGCTTTGTGGTCCCCTCTCCACAATGGACTCACCTGCCAATCCGATCTAGAGCACCGCGTGGTAGTCAGTCAGTCAATCAGTGCTCCCATGTACAAGGTACCAGCCTGGCTGGCTGGCAGGGTTTTTGGGTGTCTTGACTCACTATCTACAACCAGAGTTAGGCAGGCTCAAAGGAAAACCCCAAAGCCGGATCAGATCCGAGGGACAGAAACACGCACCTGTTCTCGACCCATCCTCCATGATTCGGATGGTGATTGTGCCGACCTTGAACGTCTCACCGGCCTTTGCAGGCACAAAGTTGATGGGCACAGTCGGTGTCTCCATTTTTTTTTATGGGAGGCGTAGAAGTGTGGATATAGACAAGGGGTTCAAGAGATAGTTACAACCGAGATATCGGTGGGAATAACAGGGAGGGGTGGTGTATTGTATTGTGTTGTCTTATGTGTGAGAGACGGTGAGGAGTGAGGAGCGTCAAGTGAGAAAAGACAAAGTCGCAAATCGGATTCATTTTCTCCCAGAAGCCGATGCCCGATTTGAGGCCGCCAACAACAACAACTGCCCAAAAAAGCGCCCAGCTACTGGAAACAGTTTAACGCCAAAGACTTCTACTTGTACCTGTATATCAATTGGTCTTGGAAAGGTCAGGAGATGGCAACTGGGCAAAGACATCTCCTGACCATGTTACCTATGTGAAGGTATGTGGTCGACGATATACCAATCCGACATCCTTCCACTGATACTCCCCAAAAGAATCATCGCTGAAACACCAAATAGCCTGAAGAACTCCAATATTCCCTACCGGTTCATCGTGGCTCCTTCTGCTCCTCCTCTAATATCCCTTGCCAGAAAGATGTCAGAAATGTCGCGTCCGACGACCCCTCATATCTTGCCAATGTACTGCTCAAATATCTTCGAGATCTCCAGCGCACTCTTCTTCGGGTACCGCTTCTGGTCATTCTCGTAGTCGACGTATGTGACGCCAAAACGCGTCTCGTATCCCTCTGCCCATTCGAAGTTGCTGTACATCCATGTGTTAGCATCCGTGACTCTGTACCCGACCAAAACAGACATCGATCAAGACTCTGGTTGAACTTACTCCATAAGACTCCATGCCATGTACCCGCGACAATCACATCCATCCTCGGCCACGGCTTCGGCCATGCTGGTGATGTAACTGCGGAAATACTCACACCGGAAATCATCCTCGAGGATCTCGTCCCGCGACAGGTCGTTCTCGCCTTTGATGCTCGTGCCGTTCTCCGTCACGTAGATCTTCGGCCGTCCGTATCGATCACTCAACCACTTCATCAATTTCCTGAACCCGGGGGCGTGAGGTCGAAGCCAGAAACTCTGCGTCTCGGGGCCGATGCTGTTGCCGTACTTGTCCTCAAAGAGGATCTCTAAGTTGCCGCCAACGTCGAGCGGATCGGCGGGACCGTCCTTGTGTTTGATGTAGTTGGCGCAATAGTGATTCATGCCGTAGAAATCGTTGGACCCCTTCATGAGCTCGCTTTCTTCTTTGCTGAATGTGGGGAGACGGTCACCCAGTTGCTTGACCATCGATTCCGGGTAGTGGCCAAAGTAGACCGGGTCGGCGAACCAGGAGATGGCGAATTCGATCTTGCGATCGCATGCTGTCCGGTCTCGTTCGTCCTCAGGGTCCCACGGCTCTGTCCAGTCACCTGCACAATGTGGGATTAATTCTGTGAAACCCAGTAACGATGACTAGAGACAACATACCATTCAGGGTGATCCCGATCTCTCCTCCATCGCGCGACTTGAACTCGTCGCGGTAGATCTTGACCGCAGTCGCATGGGCCAGCAAGATATGATGACCAACTATCCAAGGTTCCCTCGACCCGTCGCCTTCAGCACACCTCTTTCGGTCGCTGGAGCGACCTGGGGCGAAAACACCGACATTGTACCCGAGAACGGCACTGCAGAATGGTTCATTAAAGGTAATCCAGTGTTTGACCCGGGATCCCATGGCTTTGAACATAACTCGTGCATAATTGGCAAAGTCAGCGACGAACTCCTCCTTATTCAAGAAACCTCCATATCGCTTGTCGAGTTCATCCGGCAGATCCCAGTGGAACAGGGTGATGAAGGGCACAATGCCTGCTTCGAGCAGGTCATCGACGAATTTGACATAGTACTGGAGTCCGGCCTCGTTGATCGGATCATTTCGACCACCCAAGGGGATGACCCGCGACCACGAGACGGAAAACCGGTATGCTTTGGCCCCAAGCTTCTTGAGCAGCTCGATATCCTGAGCGGTGCGGTGGTACGAGTCACAGGCAACATCCCCAGAGCTACCGTCGGCAATCTTGCCAGGGATCTTGCAGAAGGTATCCCATATTGAAGGTCCTCGTCCATCAGCTGTGGCACCGCCCTCAATCTGATATCTACTCCCAAGTTAGTATGAGCAGATGGATTCATGGCTGAGACACCAACGCTGCAGTTGCAAAACCCCAAAGGAAATCGGCAGGTAAACCCGCTCTAGGAGCAATGTCCTTGACCATGGTGAAAGTAATCGATGAAATATAGCTCTTTTGCTGACTCTGTTGAGAGATTCTGACAGGGTAAATCAGCTCACAATAGCCGGAAGAAGTGAGACGAGTTGAGTTGATCAGCTGTGGAGTGACAGATGGCAGTCTAGATGTATGTCTTTATCAGCACCTCAGGAAAAGTCCCTTTGTATCGACCCTTGTGTGACAGCGCAGAGGAGAAGACTGAGTGTGAGTGTGGGTGTGGGTGTCCTCTTCTCAGACCGGGACCATGGCCTTATATTATATGAATCTTGCACCCCTCGCCCTGCATCTGCTTGACACAACTGAGGACCGATCAGACGCCCATGGTTTATCCTGGGGTGGGAACCATTTGTGTTTTTTTTTCGCTCGCTTCGCCAGAGTTGGACGATGGAACGATCCACAACATACCCAGGGTAATTATGTGGAATTAAATGGGCATTCTACCGGATTGGTTGCGGACTGACCATGTCCGGCAAATGTCCCCCTTGTTGAACCTGGGTGATTTTATTTGGTTTTCTTGTGGTTCCCTTGGGTCTTCCCCTTTGGTTCCTCCTTGTGTCTCCCACTTGCCGAAATTTAGCCTAACAGCCTGTAGCTGCGCCATCGCCGTCAATTCATCCTCACGGTTCCTCTTCGGCTCATCTCTTTCTTGGGGATTTTAAGGCTAAGCACCTTTTTGATGCCTATGCCGCCTGTCGACGATTCCTCTCGATTCGCCACACACCCGGGCTGTCGTCCCCCAAAGGTCACTCGCTGTTCACGGTTCCCAACCCCGAAAAAGATAGTGGAGATGTAACATGCATAACTTTGTGGTCAGCACATGGGCTTCGGGGCCTCATCATTCCCCCCCCCTCAGATTCGAAAAAGGCATGAGAGACTACTACTATCTGTGTTCCTGAATGTGCCTGGTCTCATAGATGGGAGCGACGAAGAATGATATGATTCTGGATCCTGTCTAGTATCTACCCTTCCCGATGCTGACCATGAATAATACAGTCCCGGACCCATTCTCCATCCATCACTTTGCAGACACAACGAGATCCATCATCTCCTCTGCCGAGCGTTGTTACCCAGCTTGGTTGGAAGTGACAAGAACAGGTCGTTGCCGCCGAGCACCTAACCCGCCGTCACATGAAGCCGTGCATGGCGCCATCCAGAACGAGTCTTGAGCCCCAAGGACATGTCACTGAAAAAGAGAGGGCGATTGTGCCAAAGAGACCCCTTGCAGATGTATCCAAACACTATACAATGCACTTTCCGTCCCTAGATTACGGCCATAATGCCGCTGAGAACCCTCTGACCCCTTCAGTCCTCCATGTGCCAACCCTTAACAACCAGAACCTCGTGCTAGTATGAAAAGTGCAGTATATCCAGAACATGTTGATGTTTCTGAAAAGAAAGAATCCCATGGTCTGCTCGGTCCAACTCGGATGTTCAAACAGGGTTAAACAATGACCACTGGCGAACCAGGCCGACCTACGACCGAATGATACCGCCCCGCAAATCAGTTCTCTGTATCGTCTTCGTTCACAGGTTCTTTCATCCGCCAAGTGATGAACGCGGCTGCCAGTGCTCCGAGTCCGCCAATTCTCAACGTCCACCCCACACTAACATCGCCCGGCTCGTTTCGGGGCTTCTGAAGCAGTTTGAAAACGGCGCTGCTGATTAACGTCGCCAGAATTTGTGGAGCGCTAATGGCCACGTTGTGCAGTCCGAGGATAATACCAGCTTGATCCTCCTGCTCTGCTTCTTTATCATCAATATCGTCAAGGTCTTCTCCGTTCATCAGTCGCTGCCGATGCTTCTTCCGTCTCATTTCGTCACGTCGTGAAATCTCGGCCGAGATCAATGCAAATGGTGCCCAAAGGCTCAGTGACCAGGAGATTCCGACCAAGGCGGTCATGATAGATGCTGCCAACGGTGTAGATATAAACACAGTACTCCACATGCATAGCGTGAAGAGGAGTTGAGACATCAACCATGCTCGTCGCAAGGTTAACCCTGGGATTTGCAATTTGTCCAACCACTTTCTCAGAACGCTAGGATTGTCGGGCGACGTGCTGGGGACAAGGTTCGGGAGTGACCGATTCATCGACAAGCTGGTCTGAGAGCGACTTAGTATAGGCCGTTCATTCCAAGGGAACTCTAGTGATCTCGTGCCGATAGGGGAGGTCGGAGTGATTGGTCGCGTAAATTCTTCGGCATCATGCCTCACCTTGGATTTGTACGTCGGTACAACCAAGAAAGGCAAAATTATATTCGACGAGAACGAGACGATAGCATAGGTCAACAGTGCAAGCGTCCCAATCCGAGTAGCCTTGGCCCAAAACTTCTCCACTTCATCGTCCGAAAGCCCAGGTTTGAGATGCGGATCAACGTACAGTTGGCCAATGTAAGTTGTGATGTAGAAGAGGAAAGGAAACCATCCTAACCACTGACAGAACTGTATCTCGCAGACCTTGCGGATTTGAGGTGGCAGGCGCCTCATGGAACTGAATACTTGTCTGAAGAAGGATAGTAACCCGCCTGATTCGTAATCTGCCTTGGAAGGAGGGTCAAGTTGTGGATTGCGCTCCTTAATGGCCAGGATGCTGATTAAGACAGTTGAACTCAGAGCAATGGATGCGAGAACAACCAGGACTTTGAACTGAGTGTTCCCAAAGAAGCTGAAATAACGGGGCAAATTCAAATATCCAAAGACATAGCCAAACACATTACCAACGCCGGTCATGCGGGAAGCCCAAGCATTGGCTGACTCTTGTTGATGAGAAGGGGCGTTGTCGACGATAAAAGCGCGAATGGCGGCTTGAACTGGGATACTGTCAGATATATGAATGAGCCTTTCTGAGTACGGACTAACCAGTGTTGATGGAAAAGTCCAGACACCACATCATGATTGTAGCAAGGATGATGGTCCCGGTCTTGTAACCTCCAGTATACTGAGCATCCCTGGCAAGCCCTCCAAGAACCCTGATAATGTCGCGGGCGTATGCGAGGATCATCGAAGAAGCAACGGTGCCTAGCGTTCCAGCAATCATGAAGGGTTTCCTTTTGCCCCATGGGACTCGACATCGATCACTCAGAATTCCGACATAGGGCTGAACAAATACGCCGGTCAAGGGACCTGCAAGCCAAACAAACGCAAGCAGTGCTTTACTCATCCCCAGAGATAGCAGATATGGTGATCCGTTAGAGAGTTCGACAGACCAGACGATCTGCAGGCCTCCAATGCAAACTGTGAGGAGGATGAGATAGAGGGCGTCCTTGGATTCCACTATAGACTCTTCATAGTCCATAGCCTCAGACATGGCTCGCTCATCTGAAAAACTCCCATCCTCGAGTGGGCGTGGCTCCTCCGAATGGTGCCTCTGCTGTCCCAGCGTTTGTTCTGGGACATCGTCATTTCTGTTCGAGGTCTTGCTGGCTCGAATGAGCGGAGAGCGCTCATTGCTGTCTGAGCTATGATCACTACGGGTCATGAATGAGTCGGAAGGTGCCTCTTGACAGGCTTAAGCGCGTCAAAAAGAGCCGGCAAGAGAGTTCGTAAGACGACACGTGCTGAATCTTGGTATGTCTTCAATGTGATATCTAGAGAGAGGATTCCGAATCGTGTCCTGAATTAGGTCCGTTTAAATCATTCTTGTCAAGGAGAGTGGAAGGGTAAAGAAGCCGAGTAGGAGAGGAAGAATATGTCAAAGAGATAATGTTCGTCGGGAGTTAGAAACGGTGAAGGAAGGTTGAAAGGTTGATACACCTGAACAGGAGAATGGATCATCAGATCAAGTCATGAGGGAGACTTGAGAACGGCACGGAATAAGGTTGATCCGTCGGAGCCAACAGCTCGTTTGATTGGCCAGTCGCTCAGCACATTCCGCATCGTCGAGCTGTCCCGATGCTGGCCGCTGAGGAACCTCAAACCTAGAGGTCCAACCTCTCAAGGAAGCGCACGTCACTCCTGTGCAGCCCAAAGGCCTCCTCAACATCCACCTACTCCGTCGTCAAACTTGTGGCACAGGGCTTGTCGCAGGCTGTATCCTCGAGTGACCATCGACCACGTTGAACGGCTCAACAGTGCCGACTCGAAGCGCAAACTCCCCCTTCTCAGTCCCAGCAGGTTGTCGTAAACAACTCAATATGAAGCCCGTCGTGTCCGCTTTGAACGCATGGAGCTGGTCAGTCCTCGTGCCATCCCTGAGATCAATATGTGATGCAGACTGCTAACCCTTTAATAGCACCGTTCTGTCGGTCTTCGCCATTGTCATCCTCTCCATCATCGGGAGCCTGTTTGCGGTACGAGCGTGACCTGGGATATACTCCACAAGATATCATGAGAAATTCATACTGATTGACGGGTTGTACAGCGGGATCACCATATGATGATGGGATTGGAAGAGGATCCTGAAGACGGCGGGGCAGTCGCGGCCTCTATATTCATCGCGGTAGCGGTATATGCCGTGAGTCTTAGTCTACTGAATTGCTACCTGTGGCACGAATACTGACAGCAAGAGCAGGGGTTCTTAGTATTTTGCGGATTTCAAGCTTGGTTGCATGTTCGGGCAAGTCGGCGGGGCGCTATATCACTATGATTGTGACTGGGTCTCATGAAATAAGACGCACATCAATGTATGCGAGGAACTAGGCATACACACGGCGCAGGATTGGAGGTATCATGCAAATTAGAGGTTTCATAGGAAAGCCCATGTACAGAAGCCGGTCATTCAAAGGCTCCTCCGGCAATTAGCCTTGTAGAATGTTATCACATGCGGTTTGTTCGCGGTCTCAAAAATACATGCACGTTTCCCTGGGAGATTGTTGTCTCTCCTCACCGACCACACCTGATCTGAACGCCTCCCAATCAAACCAGATCCCGGTTGACGAATTGTGCATGCAGCGACTTGCCCAACATCGCAGGGCTCCGCTCCACGACGACGCCAGCAGCTTCCAAGGCCGAGATCTTTGACTCGGCACCACCTTTTCCTCCACTGACAATGGCCCCAGCATGTCCCATGCGGCGCCCGGGAGGGGCACTGATACCAGCAATAAAGCTGACGGCGGGCTTGTTCTTCTTATTCTCGCTCTTCAGGAATTCTGCCGCATCTTCTTCGGCGCTGCCTCCGATTTCACCAATCATGATAATACCCTCAGTCTCGTCGTCTTCCATGAAAACCTTCAGGCAATCGATAAAGTTGGTGCCGCTGAATGGATCACCACCGATACCGACCACCAAAGATTGTCCGAGCCCCGCTTGGGTCGTTTGGTTGACCGCTTCGTATGTCAATGTTCCTGATCTTGAGACGATTCCAACTCTTCCTCGTTTGTGGATGAAGCCAGGCATGATACCGATCTTGCATTGTCCGGGTGCGATGATTCCAGGGCAGTTGGGGCCAACCAGGCGTGTTTTGCTTTGGGTCTTTAGCGCGTCGGTAACCTTGAGCATGTCATGTTGAGGGATTCTGGGGTCGTCAGCAAGGTCAAACAGGATAAGAGCTGCCATACCCTTCAGTAATGCAGACGACCAGCGGGACTTCAGCTTCAATGGCTTCCATTATACCAGATGCTGCGACCGGAGGTGGTACAAATATGACGCTTGCGGTAGCTCCGGTTTCCTTGACTCCCTCGGCAACATTCTTGAAGACGGGCAGATCAAGATGCAATGTACCGGCCTCTGCTTGCAGTCAGCATGCCGTATCTCTACGTCAAAATCTTAGGGTACTTGCTTTTCGGGTTCGTTCCACCCACAACCTTTGTTCCATACTCAATTGCCTGCTGGGCATGAAAGGTACCCTGTTTTCCCGTGAAGCCCTGGAAGAGGACTTTGGTGTCGGAGTTGATTCTCAGGTTATTCCGCGTCTGGCTATATGGTGAACTAGAAGAGACTGTCGCATAGCTTCTTGAGGTAGTGGGAGTCGCAGATCGCAGCGCCCGAGGAGCGCAGGCTTTGAAGGCCTGCATCTCTAGCGACGGCTTGAAAGGGCAGGACTAAAGTGTTACTGAAAGCCCAATGGGGGTGAATCTCAAGCGGCGGCGTCAATGATTGATATCAGAGTTCCAATCTGCGGAGTTGGCAATGGAAAGCTCCTGGCTCGCTGGGATGCCGAGCGTCATTTGATCCAGTCATTTGAAATGAATGGCGGAGCATTCAGCCTCCAACAGCATTTTGCCAGTTTCACCTTTCATTACGACCACCACGACTACAATTGGACGATCAACGAGTCTCTATATTTACCCAGAACGGGCCTATCTCAATTGCTGCACTGCCCAGAAATCTCTCTCTACCCCCTTCTCACAAAGGAGCTTCGAGTTCTCAACAAGCTCTCTGACCACCTTGCAGAATGATACAAGTAGAAATATTTCAATGACAGCTTGTTCTTGCGTTGGCAGCATCACAAGTGCTTCTGGACATTTCACACAAACGAGAAAATAGACGCAGACTACACCGAAAGCCAAATCACCAGCTGTAATCCCTTTACATGCGCACTTTGGGAATTACTTGCACCACTAAGGACCCCATGAATCTCTCCGATCTTGTCCTGCCAAGATCTCCCTCATCCCATGCCTAGAATCTCGCAATGCTCGAGACTTTATCACTGCCGTTCAAGGCAATATTTCCCTCGGTATGTTTTGTTGCACAAAGCTCGCCATTGACGCTTTACAATCCTGCAAGCCGTGCTCTGGGCTCCCAACTAACCCCCATCTGGTCGACTCCCGCCTGATATCTCGTACCTCGTCTCCAGCTAGACGGTTGAGGCAGCTCTCTTGATCTCCAAGGCGTGTTGTTTCTGCCACCTCCGTGCATATCCCACTCCGAAACCGTGGTTGAATACCTCCCGGATTTCCTCTAGAGACATGCCTTTGGTTTCCGCAAAGCAGAAAACGGAGAACAGGAATCCTAGAAAGCAGATGGCAGCATAAAAGCCAAAAGCCCCGCTCGGGGTCAATCCTTTCATCATCGATAGAAATGTCGACGCGATGATGATGTTGGTTCCCCAGCAGGTAACTGTCATGACCATGGTACCCATGGCACGTACCTCAAGCGGGAGACGCTCTGCTCCCATCCAGGATACAGGGGCAACGCCAGTGCCGAAGAAGCCCACATAGAAGATGATTGTGACGAGCACCAAAATACCAGCCCAATTTACGCTGTTGATCTCGAGTGTGAGGTCACTGGAGTCGATTGGGATGTAGTGAAAGGCCACAGCTGCGAGAACCAGACTGAGAGACATGCCCAGCACGGTAAAGATGAGGATCCTCCGACGGCCAAAGCGGTCGACAATGACTAGGTTGATACAGCATCCCAGGAAATTGCAAGCCCCAACCACAATTGATACGGCGACAGGCTTGTTGAAGCCGACAAGAGCAAACAGAGTGCCGCTATAGTACCTGCAGGTGGGTTACGTGAGATGTATGCCATGCAGGAAGAAAGGGGGGGTCTAAAGACTCACATCAGTGTGTTGAAACCGCACAGCTGGCTTACTCCCATGACGCAGCACGCGGTGAGCATGGCACGGAAATTGGCGGGAACGACGTGCAGCTGTTTGTACGACCACCACAGGGACTTTTGGGCCATCAGCTCAGTGGCTTGCTCTAGGTCTTGCTGGATCGCTCGGATCTTGTCCTGACGCTGCTCTGGGGAAGAACGAGGATATAGTCTGGCCAGCACGGCATCAGCCTCCTCCAGCTTCCCGTGTGCTACCAACTGCCGAGTGCTTTCCGGACACCAGGGTAGGAATAGGGCCAGGGCGATGGCAGGAATTGCTCCGATCGCAACAACATATCGCCAGCCGGAAGACTTGACCTCGGCGAACCCAGCTCCGATACAGTATGCAATGAACTGTCCACCTGTGATATTACAGGTTTGCATTGTGATCATGCGGCCACGGTACTTTGCAGGAGCAATCTCGGAAATGTAGCTATGCGATGTCAGCCTATCCTCAGCGTGTGATATATAGGCAGGATTTGGCTTCGTTAAGCGCAAAGCAGGTTGGCCAAAGAAAGAAAGGCTTACAGAGGCACAACCATTGCCGCGCTTCCTGCTCTATTGTTAGCATTGATATGGACGACAAGGCAAGGGCAGAGGTGTAGAACACGGCTCCGTCACAGTCGATATGGGTTTCAGGGACACTCACCGACGCCAAGTCCGACGACAGCTCTGCCTACAGTCATTTGAGCGATACTAAAGGCTGCAGCTTGGAGTATGGCGCCGACGACAAACACGACACAACCACAATATATGGATATCTTGCGGCCATAGCGGTCGGCCGTCAACCCAGCGAATATTGCCCCGATCAGTGCTCCTCCACTAGTGATGGATGTGATGAGCTCTTGCTCGCTGGACGACAGATTGTGGCCCAAGTCGTCGCCAATTGTCACGAGGACACTGGAGATATATCCCGTATCGTATCCTGAGAAAACCAGTAAGCAAGTGTTTCATGCCTGGGGACCGGTGGTCATTCATCATACCGAACAAGAAGCCACCAACCGAGACACAGATGGCGATTAACCAGACCACCCTGGAGGTTTGTGTTTCTTCGATGGTGTTGAGGGCCGCAATATCCTTGTCGAGCACATTCTCCTCGTGAAGAATAGTTTGGGCGCTCTTCTCAACGATCTCCTTCTCGTTAGTAGACATTTTGTCGGATTGGAAAGAGTGGCGCGGGAACAATGACCCCAGGTCAACGCAACCCAGCAGAATCCCACAAGTAGTGGCCCAGGAGTGCCACCAGAGTCGATATGAGGCGAAAGGAACCAAAGGACTATGCGACTATCAGCCCTTTATATCATTGTTGAATATCTCCCCCGACTCGCGTGGCGTTCCCCACGGGGACTCTAAACGGCGCTTGTCGTTGGAATAAGTATCCACAGCTCGAACCAGGATTTCCAGGCATCGGTCTCGACAATTGACATTCAGGCTCAAGAATGGCTCAATGTTATTGGTAGGGAGATATCCCGCCAGACCAGCGGCTGGATACATGGAGCTTGTTTCGGACAAAAGATTCCTCATACGACTCGCAGAGCTCTCCTGTGCAAGGGCCCGCTGGTTGCACCTGGCTGTAGTACCGCTGACATTGGGTGGGCAGATGGCCCTATAACCAGCAAGCCGTCATGCCAAAGACGGTCTCGAGACCCCCTGGACCTCGGATGAAGGTGTCCACTCAAATTTTTCGACTGAGCGGTGGTGAGTGTTATGGGAGTTAAGACTTCGCCGGCTGATACTCTCGACCTTAAGAAGTTACCAAGAAGACTCCGCATCGGGGACTCGCCGCACAAAACTTCGGCATAAAAACGCAACTCATGGTTCTTGGGGTCCGCTAGTGCTTCCTCCGCACACGCACTAGCCGATATAGGATCGCGGGAAAGGGTCTGGTGGCCAAAATATGGGGTTAGGCATAGGCACCCGTCGTTTATTTGAAGTAAATCTTCGCCGAAGTGGCCTCCTTCTGATACTCGATGTCTGCCCTTGGAGGACGACAACCTTGACCAAGGAGACAAGAGGAGCTATGCGCTCACAAGGATGGTAGAAATCCTCCCCAACTTTTGAGACTGCAGCTAACGATAACGCTAGCCAGCGATGCCGCGAAAAGCACAGTAAATGTGAGTGGTACTCTCCTGCGCAATGTCTAGATCCTGAACAGAAATGCAGGCATCACCGGGCAAGGCATGCGCAAATGTGAGAGCTGTGAGACCGCAGACGCGCCATGCTTGCCACCTCCTCGGAAACCAATCCGACTGAAAGCTGTCCATTCTGTGGTCGAACATTCCCGCTCTTCCGGGCAGGGTAGGCGGGAGATATCCTTTGTCTACGGCGGTGATCATATCTGGGTAGACTTTCACACGCCGGGTGAGCTCCTGTGCTAGTTTTCATCTGGTGGAGCGGCTAATTTTGAGGTCCAAAGTCCAATTCGTACACGGTCACGACAATGACGAAGATTCAAGTGACGCTCAGTCTTCGGTGGTTGTTGACGAAGATGAAGGAGCTTTCGCACATCCCGCGAATGCGTCCCTCGATAGCGCTGATGCGGCCAGAGAACCCAGTATTGTTGGAGCTGTTGGACCCTATACGGCAAAGAGGTCGTTGTCGTTCGGGAGAGGCAGCATTTCAGGGGTATCCCATTTCACATCCTCTCCTACATACCTGGTTTCCCCCATACAGCAGTACCGCACCCCGTCCAGCCAGATCCAGTTACTCTCGCCCTCTACAAGCGCCGTTCTCTACGAGTCGAAACCTCTTTGGCCCTTGAACAACTTAGCAGAAGCTGAGCTCCTTCGGCATTTCATCGACAATATCGGACCTCAACTAGATGTCACTGACCATGTTTCCCATTTCACTACCACTGTCCCTCAGAGAGCAGTTCACTGCCCTTTGCTGCTTTATGCTATCATTGCTGCCGCTTCCATCCATCGCAGTCGTGTTCAAGGTGTGCCAGATCAGTTCTATGAAGAATACCAGGCGAAATGCATACGGATTTTGATTCGATTTCTGGACGATCCGGATTATTCTCCCGACGAGAACTTCTTGGCGGCTATCGTCATCCTGCGCAAGGGAGAAGAGATGTCAGGTAGGGATTCGCGTCCATGCACGTCCACTGCGGGGCGTTGACGAGTTGTTACAGACCAGGATCGAATGTGCCATCTGCTGGGCTCCTCCCGAGTCATCAATTCGGTCGGCGAAGTCGCTGCCAACGGCGGCTTGGGAGAGTCAGCAGCGTGGCTGGTGCTGAGACAGAGTATTTACGTTTCACTGACAAGCAATACCCCCTTGAATGTCAATCTCGGCTGCTACAAGCGGTCGTCGGTCTTTCTCGGCCTCACAGACCACGCCTGGGCCAACAAAATCGTCTTCATTTTCGCGGAGACTCTGGCCTACTCTGCCAAAAGCAACGAACACGGGGCCGCCGATGTCGAGGACTGGCATACATTGCAGCAGGCCGCGACGCAGTGGTATCACGACAAACCCGACACATTCTTGCCGGTCTTTGAGACTTCAACCGAGACAAGCGCGCGGAACGAGCCTACTACGACCGAATTGCGGAACCCTTTCCCGACCATCTCGATGCTCCAGGCCCCCCATGTCATTGGGCTCATGTACTACCACCTGACCCTCATCCTGCTTGCTCTGAGCGACCCCGTCAACACGGTCCGGCGCAGAGGGCTAGAGAGTATGCGCCTATGGCGAGAAACCGAGCAGAAAGTCAGGGCTGATCTCAAACGCTGCATCGGCCTGGCCATCAGTAATCCTCACGTCGTAGCGGCCAATTTCGAGGCGTCGCATATCCTCTACGCGTGTGGACATTGTCTCAACTCGCCAGAGGAGCGAGCAGCGGCCGTTGACTTTCTTCGTGGCGTCAGGGTCAAGTTGGGCTGGGGGATCGGTCATATCATTGATCACTTGGAGAGACACTGGGCCGGGATGCAGTAAACAAGGCAACCATGTTCCCAAGAGGTGTTATTTTTCACATCCTAAGAGGAGGAAATTGTCGTGCGAGTCCCATAGTCGGCACTCATTTAATCAATCAATCAGACATTGGTTGGCAGAGCATTTCATGGGTATGAGATTGTTCAGATATACAAGCCTGGTAGTTGAGTAGTTAGTCATGCCATTTGCTTGGTTGGTTTGAGATCAGCGAGTGCCGTATTCCGAAGAGGCGCTGCCTGAGGAAAGATTTCTCCGCCTGTACCGAGTAATACTACTCCATACAGACTTTCCTCGTTGGGTTGGTTCCTCGTTCAGAATGAGGAAGCCATCGTGCGGTCTCCACCCTCAGTCACTCAACTTGCTGGAGACAATCTTTCTTCTCTTGCCAAACGCAGTCCCGAGAAATGGGGGTGCCACTACTGTTGCAAAGGGATCGCGGGCGCTGTGCCCATCTGTCCAGCTGTCTAGGTGCACACGAATTTTGGCTCCTCATCGATCCCGATGATCCTACTGCACCCGCCCACCCATACTTGTTATTCCAGCCTACCATGGACCTGGGTTGCCCCTCCGTTGATGACAGCTCGAGACCAAAGGCTTCCGCCATTCTGGGCACCCGCTCGGTGTGGAGGGAGGTCGCCTGAGCTTCCGAAGGGGGGAGAAAACGGGGATAACTCTGATATGGAATCGAACCAGACAAACTCACATACATATTTACATAACTGCACTCGATGCTTTTTTAGATTCCTCGCAAGAGGAGAGCCAGGCTCGTTGAAAGCACGAGTTCTGTTCTACTGATTGATGAGAAGTAATTTTTGCACTGCGAATTCGTGAGCGGCCAGAATGTGGTCGACGTCTCTTCCCTACGCTGCTGCTATAGCGGCGTCCCTGTTCATTTACTTCATCGCATGGCCTCTGGTAGAGTATATCCGCGATCCAAAAGGTGTGTGTCGCTTGCCAGACGCGAAGATTCAACTGTTTGTATTCATGAAGACCTCGGGGAGGCTGATGATGGCACAGGGCTGCGCAAATTCCCCAACTTGTCGTTGTTCTCAGGAATCAGCTCCGTCCCAATGATGATTCTGGCCCATACTGGCGCGAGGTCAGCGTATCTGACGGAAATGCACAAAAAATACCCTGTGATCCGTGTCGCCCCGAACACCCTGTCGTACGGCGATGTCAGAGCCATCAAGGATATCTACGGCCACAACACTCCCTGCATCAAGGATCCCTCCTATGTGCTCTTCTCCGGCAGTCATTTTCACCTTGCGGATGTCATAGACCGCGACGACCACGGCCGCAAGCGCAAAGTCCTGTCGTCAGCCTATGCGATCAAGAACCTCGAGCAATGGGAGCATAAAGTCGCAGACAAGATGAATCGCGTCGTCAAGCATTTCGACCAATGCTGTACCGCGCCCCTACAGCCCAGTGAGAAAGTGCCGGTGGCCGAAGACGTCAACCTAGATTTCCGCGCCTGGATGAACTTCTTCAGTCTGGATGCCATTTCCGACATTGGTCTTTCGGACCCGCTGGGCTTTCTCGACAAAGGCAATTCGCGTACAGTCGCGCGTCGGACAGACGGGACGCGGTACGAGGCCGACATGAGGGACTGCCTGTATAAAATGGCACACAAGCAATCGCTCCTGATCTGGCCGTATGCGTGGTACCCGATCCTCAACAAGATCGCCGACATCATCCCGTTTTATGGTCGAATGGGTGCACTACATCGACAATGGGAAGGAATTCCGTTGGAACTCGCATCTCGCCGTCTGGAGCGCTATCAACGTGGTGAGAAGCTGGACGATTTCTTCCAAGCACTCATGGAGGACAAGAGCTCTCGTCCGAACAACCTCGAATGGGGGGAGATTGTAGCCGAGGTCAGCATCATGTTGAACGCCGGCTCGGTAACTACAGCCATCGCCATCACGAACGTCATGTTCCAACTGCTCAAGAACCCAAAGTGTCTGCGAAAAGTCAGAGAAGAGATTGACGCCGCTCTGGACGCCGATGAGATTGAAGATTGCGCGTCCACGAGCGGGTATTACGAAGATGGGGTCATCGCCTACGACCGCCTCAAACATCTGCCCTACCTTCGTGCTTGCTTGGACGAATCCCTACGCCTCTTCCCTCCCACGGTGCACGGATTGCTGCGACTGACACCTCCAGAAGGCATGAGGATTGTTGACGATTTCGTTGCAGGCGGAGTATCGGTGATGATGTCCGCATTGACTGCCCACCGTAATCCCAACATCTTCCCCAGCCCAGACAAATACATCCCCGAGCGCTGGTTGGGTGAACCGGGCAAGGCGCTCCAGCCATATTTTCTGGCCTTCAGCGCAGGCGCAAGAGGCTGCATTGGGCGCAACATTAGCTATCTGGAGCAGACGGTGGCCATGGGGACATTGCTGAGAAGATACGACTTTGCCCTGAAAAGCCCAGACTGGGAGATCGAGAGGTTGGAGACACTTAATTGGATCTTGGGTGAGATGCCAGTCAAGATTTGGAGGAGGAAGCGTGAGAGAGAGCTCTGAGGATTTGATTTTGCCGTGTAAGGTTAGCTCTCAAGACTGACTATCATGAAAGAATTTAATATACCTTGAATGAAGAGGGTTGTGAATGGTGAGCGCAGGTAGCGGAACATAGTTTATCCGTATGCCAAGGCTGAATTCATTTGCATGTGACATCGAATTAATTTTGAGCCTTGACGACAATCTCCAACTATTTCTCTAGTTCTCCCCTAGACTTACTTGACTTTTATATTCTGGTTGAAAGGTTCTGTATTCTGCCAGCCCAACATGGCGACGGAGACGGTGCTCAGGACCAAAGTCAAAATCGGCAAAAATGAAAAACTCCCTCCAGAAAACGTCCGGTTCATGCAGGCATGTAATGACATTGCGCGCGCACTTGTCCAAGAATACGAGGCTAGCCTTGACGAGACGAAACCCAAGAAAGATGTCAACCTCAATAAACTGAGAGGGGACGTCGCCAAAAAGCACCGACTGAGCAATCTGCCTCCTCTGACCGCGATCCTGGCTGCTGTTCCGCCCGAGTTCAAAAAACACCTGATGCCGAAGCTGATCGCGAAACCGGTAAGGACAGCCTCAGGAATTGCCGTAGTTGCTGTCATGTCCAAGCCGCATCGATGTCCACACATCGCCTGGACGGGCCATGCCTGTGTCTATTGTCCAGGTGGACCTGACTCCGACTTTGAATACTCGACCCAGTCGTACACAGGATACGAGCCCACCTCAATGCGGGCTATCCGTGCTCGTTATGATCCGTTTGAACAGGCACGCGGCAGAGTCGATCAGATCAAATCTCTTGGTCATAGCGTGGATAAAGTCGAGTTCATCATAATGGGCGGAACATTCATGTCCTTACCTCAGGACTACCGGGACAACTTTGTCGCGCAGTTGCACAATGCGTTGTCGGGTTACCAGACAGAAAATGTGAATGAGGCCGTCACCGCGGGAGAGATGTCAAGTATCAAGTGCGTTGGCATCACTATCGAAACAAGACCCGACTTTGGACAGATCGACCATCTTTCTGATATGCTGAGGTATGGGTGTACCCGGCTGGAGCTTGGTGTCCAGTCTTTATATGAGGACGTGGCCCGAGACACAAACCGAGGTCATACAGTTGCTGCGGTAGTGGAGGCGTTCAAATTCTGCAAAGATGCTGGCTTCAAGGTGGTGTCGCATATGATGCCGGACTTACCCAATGTTGGTATGGAACGCGACATCTTCCAATTCCAGGAATACTTTGAGAACCCAGACTTCCGCACAGATGGTCTGAAGATCTATCCGACGCTCGTGATTCGCGGCACGGGACTTTACGAGCTGTGGCGGACCGGGCGGTTCAAGAACTATACGCCAAACGCCCTTGTGGATCTGGTGGCTAGGATCCTGGCGCTGGTGCCTCCCTGGACGAGAATATATCGTGTACAGCGGGACATTCCCATGCCCTTGGTAACATCTGGAGTCGAGAATGGCAATCTACGTGAGCTCGCGCTATCTCGAATGAAGGATTTCGGCACCACCTGTCGAGATGTTCGAACGAGGGAGGTCGGCATCAATGAGGTGAAGAACAAAATTCGACCTTCGCAGGTGGAGCTTGTGCGGAGGGATTACATGGCAAATGGCGGCTGGGAGACGTTTCTTGCATATGAGGATCCCAAGCAGGATATCCTTATCGGTCTACTGAGATTGCGAAAATGCTCAGATACACACACCTTTCGACCCGAGCTGACAGGCCAGCCAACCAGCATTGTCCGTGAGCTTCATGTTTACGGTTTGGCTGTCCCGATCCACGGCCGCGAAAAGAGCCGATTCCAGCACCAAGGTTATGGAACTCTGCTGATGAAAGAAGCCGAGAAAATTGCCCGGGACGAACACGGAAGCGAGAAACTCAGCGTCATCAGCGGCGTTGGTGTGAGAAGCTACTACGAACGTCTGGGGTATACGCTGGATGGCCCATACATGAGCAAGGTGCTTAGTTTCGATGACGATGAGCCCGAGGATTGAACAGCCAGCCAGCAACATCTGTTCGCAGGTTACGAAGCCCACAACTCGAGTACTCGACGATGACAATTCACATTCACAGCAATCCCCGGCAAATTGCCTGCCCAGAGACGTCCGACAGAGACTAAAGTTGCCCGGTTTCAGGGCACGGCGAGGCAGTCTGCTGTTTCTCGTCGTAGCCATTCCGCGCGCTACCTCCGTATCCATTTCGCACTGCTAGACGGGTAGCCCTGTTCTCACAGTCAAGAGCCAAGCTTGGCACTGCGATTCAACAGGACGTTGGAGACGTTATGGCCCTCTGCTCCAGCCAACCGTGGCCGTCCCAATCATGCCGAGGGCGTTGGAGATAGGGAAGAACGTGTGCATCTCCGCTGCCTTTCCCTTGTAGTTCTCCTGAGACTATTGGGCTGGAGGGAATGCTCTCTGACCCAAGTGATAGGGAACACATGCCCGCGGAAACAGCAAGGAAAAGAACAAGGGGATGCGTGTAGGGTTAGACGAGGCTCCGCGGCCCCACGAGTCTTTCTGTGTCTGTGTCTGTGAAGGAATCAAAGTGGCGTCCGATAAGCGAGCGATAAGCACCGACTCCCGCTCAACAAATCACGTCATTCGCATTTTTTTCTCTTCTTGGTATTTTTTCCATGTCGAGGAATTCTAAATTGCCATATTGGTACCGAGTAGACATGGTGAACTGAGGGGTTTGTTCTATTTCCTATTTTCTGTTTTCCTAACCCATCTTTCTTTTTGCATGGCCATGGCGTCTCGGTGTCATATTGCTTGCACTTCTTAAAACACTTCGTTCTCTCCCACACAGTTACCCCTCTGCGTGCATCCCACCATGTTTACACCCGCGCTGTTGACGGCGCACAGCTGCGTTGGACACGTCCACCTGATTCTCGGTTCCGGACCTCTGGCTGCCGCACGGTGCACAAAGTCGCTCGAGGTTGGCGCCCGACCGATCGCTGTGTTTCCCGAGACCGAGCAACCTCACTTCACGCTTGCGGCGGCCATTGAGCAGGGTCGAGTGTCATGGATACGGCGCGAGTTTGAAGAGCAGGACCTGAGGACATCGGGGCGGGAAGAAATAGATGGATATGTGGATGCCGTGTTTGTCACTCTCCCTACCAAGGACCCGAGAAGCTCCCACGTGTCCAGCCTCTGCAAGCGCATGCGGATTCCAGTTAACGTCGTGGATGCGCCGCACCTTTGCACCTTCACCCTCTTGTCGACCTATTCGGACGGACCCCTCCAAATAGGAATAACCACATCGGGCAATGGCTGCAAGCTATCGTCGCGCATTCGGCGGGAGATTGCATCCACCTTGCCTCCCAAGTTTGGTGCTGCCGTCGAGAGGCTTGGATCCGTGCGGAGGCAGATATGGGCAGAGGATTACAAGTCCAATGCCTCGAACCCCACAGAACCACCCGACCCTGAAGGCGAAGATGAAGAGGCCGCCGCTCAGAGACACACCTTTAATTCCTTAGTCAAAGAAGACGATCGAGACCCAGCTGTTTTGCGCACTCGCCGGATGAGGTGGCTTTCGCAGATATGCGAGTACTGGCCTCTAAGTCGACTTGCGGCAATCACGGACGCTGATGTGGCAACAATCCTAGAGGCGTATAGGACCACTGCTCAGCCTCCGGCTCCTGGTTCAGACAACACCTCCAGTCTCCTGCCGTCACTACCTGCTCGCAAAGGCACGATAACCTTGGCTGGCTCAGGCCCAGGCCATCCTTCTCTACTGACAATCGCCACGCGGACAGCCATTGAAACAGCTCATGTCATCTTGGCTGACAAGCTTGTTCCTGCCGAAATTCTAGCTCTTATCCCCCGCAGGACGCCGGTGCATATTGCCCGAAAGTTTCCTGGCAATGCGGACGCCGCACAGGAGGAAATGCTTCAAATGGGACTGGAGGCTATGGAACAGGGTAAAGATGTGCTCCGGCTGAAGCAAGGTGATCCTTATCTGTATGGTCGCGGGGCCGAAGAAGTAACCTTTTTCCGAGAACGCGGTTTCGAGGTCAGGGTAATACCTGGCATCACCAGTGCTCTCTCGGCACCCATGTTCGCCGATATCCCTGTAACCCACCGTGCTGTTGCCGACCAAGTCGTCATCTGTACTGGGACTGGCAGAAAGGGAGCTGCGCCTGAGCCGCCATCTTACCGAAAGAGCAAGACAGTGGTGTTTCTCATGGCGCTGCACAGATTAGAGAGCTTGGTCCAAAGCCTGACGCAGACCGCGGAAGATCAGAGCCGGGAAGGGACACGACGGACGCTGTGGCCCTCCAGTACACCGTGCGCCGTGATCGAAAGAGCCAGCTGTCCAGATCAGAGGGTGATCCGAACGACACTCCAGCATGTCTGTCAGGCCGTGGAAGAGAAAGGATCCAGGCCACCAGGCTTGCTAGTTGTCGGCCACTCCTGCGAAGTGCTACACAAGGCCGAGGAAGATCAGAGATGGACCGTTGAGGAGGGATTCAGAGGTCTAGACGCTGGCGGACGCGCGGCTTCAGAATTGAATATACTAAAAGAGTTGGGAAACGCGTCTCAAAGGGATATCAAGGAGCGGCCCAGAGTGAATGGGGATTTGCCTCCTGCTATAACGGTGTGATAAAAGTTATATGATTCAATGTTTGAGACGTATTTCGAGCGGTATAGATGCCAGCGTTATTGGATAGACGAAAGGATATCAAGATCTGTGTCTCCTGAAAGATTTGCGCTCTGCCACGTTTTCGTCTCTTCTGCGACGTTAGAGAAGCATAAGAGAGCACTCTGTGACTGACACGCCAGATATAAGGATGTACTCTCATTGAAAGTAATATACACCCGAGCGAAAAGCAATGCTGGTAGCTACAGTACAATACATACCGAGTTGTCAATCAGGCTGCCTCTACAAGCCATCAGCCGAAGTTTATCCTTTGACCCTTCTTGGTGTCTCGCCTGAATCGCCCTGTGCATAGCTTAAGCTTGGTATGTTTCTCGCTTCTTTCTCGCTTGCGACTCTATATCAGCTATCTCGAAGCTCGAAACTGTGTCCTGGTCATCACATCGACTGGTCCTGACTGTCTCTGTCCTAAAAAGGTCAGGTCAATTGCTGCATCTATATGGACACGATTTGAATCGAGCCACAAAGGTCACACAGGGGAAGAAAGGAGAGCTCCAGGTTCTGCTGCCTGTTATCTGTCTGGAAGACAAAACCAGCGCAATGTCGCAGTCACAGTCGCAACCTGGGGTGATCCCCTATGGCTCCAGCATCGTTCACTCCGCGCCCGTCGACATGGCTCGACCCATCAACCACGAGAACATTAGAGGCAAAACGATACTCATCACGGGAGGCGCTTCAGGGTTTGGGGCAGCGTGCTTCCGCGAATGGGCGTCTCACGGCGCCAACGTGATCATTGGCGACCTCAACGAGAAGGCCGGCACCGAGCTGGTCGCACAGGTTCGCCAGGCCACAGAAAACCAGAACCACCATTTCATCCCGCTCAACGTGACCAGCTGGCAGAGTCAAGTCGCCTTCTTCAAGCAGGCCGCCCGGCTGAGTCCGCACGGCGGGATCGACCACGTCATGGCCAACGCCGGGGTGGCCGATTCAGCGGAGCAGCTTCTATTCGAGGACCCGCCCGACTATGGGAAGATGGTGGACGAGCATGTCCCGCCCAACCCAGGCCTTCGCACGCTGGACACCAACCTGAACGGCGTCATGTACACTACACACCTGGCGATATCATATCTGTCGCAGAATCCGGGAAGTGAGAAATGTCACGCGGACAAGCATTCGGGAGCACGAGATCGACATCTCATCCTGGTGTCCTCGATTGCCGGGCTGGCGGCTCTGCCGGGCCAGTCTATCTACGCCGCGGCCAAGCACGGCGTGGTTGGGTTGTTTCGGACACTGAGGCTGACAATCCCGCTGAAGAGAGGGATCAGGGTGAACATGATCAATCCATGTGCGCTATCACAGTCATTGTGGTATATGCTTCACTAACGCACGGGTGTAGATTTCGTCGACACGCCTATCCTGGGACCTCTGGGCGCCTTGGTCCTCGCGGGCGGCGCAATGGCCAAGATTGAGTCGGTGGTCGAAGCCACGACGCGGCTCGTGGCCGATCAAGGCATCATCGGCCGCGCACTCATGATAGCCAGCAAGACCTCCGAGGAGGACGCAAGGGCAGTGGGCCTCGAGCGGGCCATAGAAGACCAGGCAGTCTGGGATTGTTACGCCGACGACTTTGAGCAGACGGACCTGTTTACGAGACGGATCATTGGGATTACGAATCTGGTGACGCGGACAAGAGGCTGGGCGGGCATGTGGTCGGATATTGGGAGTAATTTGTCCAGGAAACTGTGGAAGGCTCTGGGGTATTGAGCAGGACGAGTGGATATGTCTATATGTCTCGGGACATTGGCCGCATATCCATAGACAGTGTTTGATATTGCGCTTCAAGACACGTCTGGCTTACCGGAATTTGATTATGTAAGCTGCGCTTCGTTCGAGTTTCTTCATCTCCTTTTCACCCCAAAGAGGCAAATGGATTTGGAGATGGCGACAATCCCATTCCTGTTCGACATCGCAAAGACGGGTCCTTCGTCGTGCCGTACGCCATCCCCTGCCGTCGTGTCACCGATATCTCCCAAACGGCCCAGTATCTCTTGTCCAGACCCGACTGCGAGGTTTTCCGCCCCACGAGGTGTGCGACCCAACGCTGAGCGCCCCAACGCAACAAATCGTACGTCAATGTGCCAGACCTGGGCGTCGCCGTCGGTCTGTGCATGAATCTGGAAATCCTGCACCGGCACCCGAGCCATGTCCAAGGCATGCTAAGGTCGCGCAAGTTACTTGCTCTGGTCCTTCTTGTCGGCACCGCTGTTCTCACCCTATACCTGCTCCAGAGTCCCCAACAGATCCAGACACTCGAGGAATCGACGGCCTCGCTCTTCCAAGGCCACCATGCCCACGAGGAGAATCAGCCACTCCTTCCCGCGAGTTCCCTGTTGCATCCTATCCACCAGCTAGTCGCCCAGGGGGAGAGTGACTTTCAGACTGTCCGAGCGCGCCAGTCGCGGTCTCTCAGCGATGCGGTAGCCGAGTACCGCAGGCGGTACAAGCTGCCTCCTCCTCCGCATTTCGACAAATGGTACAACTTTGCGAAGAAACGGGGCGTCGAGCCCATCGACGAGTATGACACGATATATCACCAGTTGCTGCCCTTTTGGGCATTGGAACCCGGTGTCATAAGAGAGAGGACAAGAGAAGCGATCGGATTCGACAATGCTTTGATCTCAGTCATGATCCGCGATGGCAAGGTCACCAAAGCCGAAGGAGGTGGAGATATGTACGAGTGGCATAGGGAGGCGACGCCTATCATGTTGAAAGATTTCATCAAGTACCTGCCCGATATGGACCTAGCATTCAACATTCATGACGAGCCTCGCGTGGTGATGCAGCACGATGACCTCCTGCACCACGTCAAGGTGGCCAAGGACGAGAACATCCCCAAGGCCTACAATGCTCAGAGACTGAAGAACGAATGGTCGCGCCGCGCCGAAGATCTGGGTGAAGGAATCCGGATCAAAGAATACAAAACCACCCGCTTCAACCGCTTTGCCCACCAACCGACATGGAGCAATTCTAGGATTTCCTGCCCACCAGACAGTGCTGCGCGTTCCTGTCTCAACGACTCCTGCCCAGACAACATTACTGCCTATTCTAATCTGCCCCTGGGCTTCGTCCGGAACACCACTGCCTTCTCCGACATCTGCAACTCTCCCAGCATGGAGAGGTCATTTGGTTTTTTCGACCGTCCCAACGCGTTTGATGTCACACACGACCTCTTCCCCATCTTCTCGCAGTCCAAGATCTCTTCCTTTCAAGACATTCTGTACCCGTCGCCGTGGTATTACATGGGCCGTGTCAAGTATGAGCCGGAACGGGATATGCCGTGGGAACAGAAGGCTCCTACGATGTATTGGCGAGGCAGCACCACCGGTGGCTTCTCCCGCGATGGTGGATGGAGAAGACAACACCGTCAACGGTTTCTCACCAAGATCCAGCCACTCAATACGGCTAAGATTCTCGAATTGGACACCAACACTTCGGCAGAAGATTCTCTGTGGCGCGAGAAGACCATCTCCGCGGCCGAGGTAGCGCATTATTTTGACGTCAAGTTCACATACATTGGGCAATGTGACCCCGGGGACTGCGACGCCCAACGCGAGTACTTTGGGACCGTGGAGCCTGTCAATATGTTTGACGCACTGGCGTCTCGGTATCTACTGGACATAGATGGCAATGCGTTTTCTGGTCGCTATTACGCCTGGCTGTTGAGCAAATCTCTTGTCTACAAGCTCGCGGTGTTCCGTGAGTGGCACGACGAGTGGCTGAGGCCGTGGGTGCATTACATCCCACTGGGTCTGATCGGTGATGAATACGCCGAGAGCGTAAGGTACTTTGATCAAGAGGAGGCCGGCAAGGTGGAGGGCAAGAGGATCGCCGAGCAGGGCAGGAATTGGGCGCAAAAGGTGCTGAGGAATGAGGATTTGGAGGTGTGGTATTTCCGGCTGTTGTTAGAGTGAGTTTGTTTGTCCCATTTTTGACCATATGATGGATGATATCGAGCCTTTGCTGACCGAGTAAATCTACAGATACGGCCGTTTGATCGACGACGACCGATATAACATTGGCTTCAGCATCTAAAAAAAAATGGCCGTGTTCTTCTCAGATGTGCAAAGCAAGCAAGCAAGCAACAACCCCAAAAAATTCTGTATAGAAAATGCACCGTTTCTTTCTTTTTCGCGGAGGGATACTCAACTGTGCTGAAATCAAGAGCGAAGCGTGTGCTGTGCTTTGATTCGAAAAGAATGGTTTTTGACACAGCGGCGTTGTTGGAAAAAAATACTTTCCCGTCCCCTTTGCGGTTTTTGTGTGAATCTATCGAGTACCGAGCATATACAGAGAAGAGAGGAGAGAGCCTGTGACGCTGTGACGCTGTGAACTGTGAGCCCTGTGTGATAAGACACACAAGACTGTTGATTCATACAGTATATACCATTATTAGTACATATAGATGTACATGAATCCATACCGTATACCCTGTACCCTATACCTCGATGACGAGATGCGACGAGATCCTGTGTATATGCGTATATGCTATCTGCGAGTGTACATGTTAGGTCTATATCTGTAAACTATCTGACGATGTACGTACCCGGTACAAGATACTTACTAGGTATGCTTACTAGATACTGACAGACTGGGTGACTAGCAAGCAAGGCGCAATAAATCCCTTCGACGTCGTGGTCGTCGATATCATTACTAGGTCGGTAGTCGGAAAAATAATATGTGGATACAACGCGCACTACAGAACAAGGAGGACCGTTTATACCTCGTACACACCTCTCTACACCTCAGGCACTCTCTTTCGAATCAGTCTTTGGGGAAAATCTATCTATTTCTTCCTCTGCGTTCGTGCTGCGTGGTACAAAACAAAAAGGGACGAAGGGCGAAACAAAGGTCCGGATTCGCGACTCCAAAATATCTTCTGGCCCTCGATATCTGGAATACGCGCTCTCCTCTTCCTCTCTCCCTCTCTCTTTTTGCTGGTGTCGTCTGGCCATCATCCCTTCATTGGAACTCTTCCCCCTTCCCTGCCAATGTTTTATTCCCACGCGACACTTGGCTGATCTTCGTACACATGCACCCGTGTCACAGCCATGCCAGGCTGCGCCGCCCGTCCTGGCCGGCAGGACCAATCCCCCTGAAAGCCTCCGACCTGGGTTTGACCCTGGTCCATGCCCTTCCATGACACCGGTCACATCTCCCGCCTTCCTCCAAAGATGGGAAATGTCCACTGCGAAGGTCTCCTGCCCAGCTCAGGCCCCATGTCGTCCTCTCGCTCCTTACCGCGCTCAATATGCTCGACATGCTGGACAGGCCCATCCTCGTTCTCATTCTCATCACCATCAATCTCCCGCTCCCTCACCTCTACCTCCCTCACATCCTTCTGCCGGCGGAAGCACTACTGTCCGGTATCCATCCTCTCCCCGGACTGCTGAGCATACACATTATTCGTTCCACCCGCCGCCACAGTAGCGAAATACCGCACATCCACGTCTTCGTCCTGTTGCAATTTCTCCAAATTTGACATGATTTGCGCGATCAATTCCTGTGCCTTGGGACTCGGTTGTGCCGTCGAATTGGATTCTTGGTCCCCCTGCTGTAGTGTCCCTTCGGTGGGTAATCGGCGGAGCGTCTCGATGAGGACGGCGTAGGATTTGGCAACATTGAACCGGATGTTGGGGATTGGGTCGGTGACGAGGCGGTCCATCATGGGGAGGACGCTTTCGGCTATAATGTCGAGAGTTATCACTGGTGCGAGGATCTGACATTGAACTGTTAGCAAAGTGGTCTAAAAATGGACTGAATGGGACTGACCGTGATGGCAAAGCAAGTTGTCATCCTGTACAAATAATTTGCTTGTTGGCTCATGGCCGTGACTTTGGGAATGATGCTTCGATTCGCCCATTCCACGCCAAAGACTTCCGTGAGCTTCTTCAGGTTCTGTGTTGCAGCGTCGCGAATTGAGAAAACAGTGTCGCCCAACCAGCCCATGCACAGCGAACTTAGCTGCTCGTCGAAGAATTTCATGCCCAATTGCTTCGCCAGCAAGGGAATGTATTCAATAATTGCAAGGCGCACACGCCATTGCTTGTCTTCTGCAAGCTGGACGATGGCTGGCAGGAGAGACTGAGAAAGCAAGTCGATACCGATCACATTGTTGACAAGTTCAAGTTTGGAGATGATATGCAGTCTCACATCTGGGAACTCGTCCTTGAGCATTTGCAGAAACATGGGGAGGAGATGAGAGATAGTTTCTTCCTTGCCGAGAATTGGAGCTAATCCACTGAGTTGGGTTCCGAGGGCGGCTCGAACATGCTGGTTAGGATCAGACACCAGGTCTTCGATCGATGTCATGATTTCGTTCAAGAGGGTCTCTCGGTCAAGCAGCCCGCAGAAGCCAGGGATTTGGCTGGCGATGGCGGTCCTAACTTCGGCCTCGCTATCCTTGAGGAGCTTGACAAAGGCAGGGACGAGATCTCGGGTGACAACCTCCTCATTGACAGCCTTTGCAATCTTCTCGAATTTCTCTGCCACCATGTATCGTACTCTCCAGCTCTTGTCCTCGAATAAACTCCTCAATGCGGTCAGCAAGACACCGTGACTCGGTTGCTGCTCCTTGGGAATGACTTCTGCAATGGAGATGAGGACTTCGACAGTCAGAAGTCGAACACTGTCTTGGTCATCGCTGGCTAGATGTTGAAACAGAGGGATCATCTCCTCGATCACAATTGGGACTGGAACCTCTTTCACGAACTTGGCCAGGTTGTTTGCGGCTTGTCGTCGCACCATGGGTGTCTCATCATGAACAAGGTGCCCAAATTGAGCCCTCAGAACTTGTTGAGAAGATTGGGACGCTTTTCGGTAGGGAGTTGTGTACAAGCCGGTCGCGGAAATCTTCGAGGTGAACCAATCGGCCTTCGATAGGCGGATCGTGAGGGGGATGAAGTATTCTTCGACTTGTCGTTCTGACAAGTCATTGCAGATTTTGTTTAGAGATTCAACCGCCTATCTCCCTTTAGATGACTTATGCCCGTAACCATGGAGAATCTTACGTACCTTGTCCCGCACCAATGGCTCCTCGATGGCGGCCAAGTTCTCCAAAGGCGCGAGGAGCACGTGACCATATTCAGGGCCGCCGACGTACTCGATGAAGTTTCCCAGCTCTTCAGCGAGTGCGGTAAGCACTTCATCTTCATCTTCCACGGAGTCTGGGCCAAAATGTCAGTTGTAGTTCCACGTTTGGGCAACGAAACAGGCCGCACCGTCCAAAAAGGGTATCAATTCCTCTCTTGTTCGTTCAGGACCAAGGGCCAATGCAATGGTAGAAAGTCGGTGGATAGCGTTGAGGCGGAGAAGGACATCATCGTGCTGTTTACATGTCAGTCGAAGCCCAGGGCGTGGCGAGCGCCATGGTTAAGACATACCTTGAGTTCGTCAATCAGCACGGCGATGGGATAGAGCTCATCTCCACTATCTTGACTCTCCATTTTGGGTGTATCTTGGGCACTTTATCAAGATTTCCAATATTGAGCTGGCCCTAAGCGCAGGGACTTTCGGCAGGAAAACTGAACAGTCACTTCTGCGCAGATTTGGTTGTAAAGCAGCGCGGACACGTCGTATTTGTAGCAGAGAGGGCCAGGTCACATTCTAATGCATACTTGACTGAGTAAAAGGCAGTCAGTATCCACCAATTCGCGAGACTTCAAAAGTTGTGCCTCGTGGCCTGATATGGACAGGCTGCGCGGTTGACCAGGATGAATGCGCCGGGGATGGGAGAGGCTCGACTCACAACAAACCAAGATACAGAGTCGATGCAGGTGTCGATGAATTGGTGGGGTCTGTCACTATGACTTGCTATCCACAGAACAGTCAATGTGGAAGTAGGGAGAGGATTCGTAGGAGGGCAAATAAGGGTATTGTTGCTTTTGCAAGGTGGGATAATCAGGTTCGCTCTACGAGCTCCGTCATTCAAAGTGAACAAGTCGGGAACATGTGGCTGAAAGGGGCTGATTGATGCCAGATGCTGTGGCACAGCCAAATTCCTGTGGGCGCAGGATGGGCAAAGACGGGGCATCGCACTCTGCGTAGTGGCTGCGCCAAGACCCTCCAGATGACTCTTCCCTCTTACAGTCTTTTTTGATATTGATTCCTTTAACTGAGCCGGGCGACAAGATACCACTCTCGACCGCCTCGATCATAGTCTGCCTACTTCTCCCACTCTTCTGTGTCTCTCTGAGGACTTGGACCGGCGCATCTGGGCCGACTGAAACGCAGCTGGAGAAAATCTGCCTCAGAGCCTTCGCAAAATGCCAACCATCACAGTAGACAAGGCTGCCCTCTTCCAGGCACTGGGGAGGGACTACACGACAGAGGAGTTCGACGAACTCTGCTTTGACTTTGGGATCGAGCTCGATGAAGACACCTCACTGACAGAACGACCGATCGTGAACGGCAAACAAGAACCTCCCCAGCTAAAGATCGAGATCCCAGCCAATCGATATGACATGTTGTGCTTCGAGGGCATTCAGCTCATGCTGAACATCTTCAATCGCAGAGTACCAGCACCCAAATATGTTCTCAAAGCACCGCCCAAGGGAGAAATTCAGACCATTACAGTTTCCAAGGATTGCGAGAGAATACGGCCATACGTCTCTGGGGCCATTTTGCGAAACATCAAATTCGACCAGGCCAGGTACGAGTCTTTCATTGACCTACAAGACAAGTTGCACCAAAATCTGGCGCGGCAGCGGACTCTGGTGTCCATAGGAACCCATGACCTCGACACGATCAAGGGTCCCTTCACCTACGAAGCCCTGCCTCCCAAGGACATCAAATTCGTGCCGTTGAACCAGACCAAGCAAATGAATGGTGAAGAGCTTATGCAGTTCTACGAAAAGGACAAGCATCTGGGTCGCTTCTTGCACATTATCAGGGACTCTCCAGTCTACCCGGTTATCTACGACTCTAATCGCAATGTCTGTTCGCTGCCGCCAATCATCAATGGTGATCTCAGTAAGATCTCTCTCAACACCAAAAACGTCTTTATGGAAGTCACCGCCACAGATAAAACCAAACTAGAGACCGTCGTCAACATCATGGTCACTATGTTCTCTCAATACACCTCAGACCAGTTCACCGTCGAACCCATTCAGATCATCTCCGAACACAACGGGCAGTCGAGACAAGTTCCTGATCTTACCCCCCGTTCCACAGTCGCTGAAGTAGATTACATCAATGCCTGCTGCGGCCTTTCACTATCGGCACAAGAAATCTGTGATCTGTTGACACGAATGTCCTACACGGCACGCCCGTCAAAGTCGGACAAGAATCTGATTGACGTAGACGTGCCCCCAACACGTGCAGATGTCCTACATCAAGCAGATATCATGGAAGACGTCTGCATCGCTTATGGCTTCAACAAGCTGCCCCGTGCATTTCCCAAGGTCGGAGCCACCATCGCTGCACCATTGGCAATCAACAAACTTTCCGACATTCTGCGTCTCGAAGCCGCCATGGCGGGCTGGGCGGAGGTTCTCCCACTTATTCTGTGTTCGCACGATGAGAATTTTGCGTGGCTCAATCGCAAGGATGATGGCAACACTGCAGTGCGTCTAGCAAATCCAAAGACAGCAGAGTATCAAGTTGTTCGCACGACCTTGTTGCCCGGACTGCTGAAGACTATCCGTGAGAACAAGCATCATTCTATCCCCATCAAGATTTTTGAGGTCAGTGACGTTGCCTTTAAGGATGCCAGCCTCGAACGCAAATCTCGGAACGAGCGACACTTCGCTGCCGCATGGTACGGCAAAACGTCAGGCTTTGAGGTGGTGCACGGCCTTCTGGATCGTCTCATGGCTATGCTTAAGACGGCTTTCATCACTCACGAAGAAGGCCTTGAGATCCGTGGGGGAGACACAGGAAACGGAACTAAAATGGAGTACTGGATCCAGGAACTGGACGATGCGACATATTTCCCCGGTCACGGCGCCAGCATTCACGCAAGAATCGCGGGAAAAGAAGTTGTCATTGGGAACTTCGGGATCTTGCATCCAACAGTGTTGGAAAAGTTCGAGTTGAGATATCCAGTCAGTGTCTTGGAGTTCAACGTGGAGGTCTTCTTGTAGTTAGAACTAAGAGCCCAGGCATCTGCCCGATGCTGTTTAGATGAAAAATGCCCGTGACATGTTTGTCTGTTCATTTACATGCATTCAAGGACTATTGAGTGTGGCCCATTTTCTAAAAACAAGAAAGCGCCTTGAAGTCGGGCAGATTTGCTCTCATTGCACAACCCCCTTTTTTCCCTCGCCGGTTCATGCGCTAGGTATGATGCAGATGACCAGAATCACCAGTTGCCAGTAGCTCCGGTATCGTCCATAGCCCAAACATCCACTCCAGCAGATTCGTAGACAGGCTGAGGTGGTGCCACGGCAGCGGGAACCAATGGCCCTTCAGTGGCACCATCGTAAACGCCCTGGCCAGCTGCCCCGACAGCCGCAACTGTAGAAGAAGCATCAACATCTCGGGATTCCTACTCCTGGGCGTATTGCTCCTCCCCACCAGCACCGTCCTGTTCCGCGTCGGCCGCCGCCCGCGCATCTTGCGCTGCCTGCTGAGCGGCCAGTGCCTTTGCACCGTAGTCCTGGCTCATTGGTTGCACGACCGGCTGTTCTTCCTTTGGTTCGATGATGGTGACGCTGTCGGGGAGAGATTTCTGGGGACCGGCTTTTCCTTCAGGGTCGGAGCCGCGCATGATCTTGACTTTGATGCCCAAGACACCCTGGCGGAGGAGGACGTGTCGGGTGGCGGAATCGATAAAGTCGTTGACGGGTTGACCGGAGTGGATCATGAAGCCGTCCTATAAATCCGGATCAGTATACCATGATTGTATTTTCGAAGGTATTGTTTGTGTATCTCATGGGTTTATCTTACCGTGAACTTCATACTCTTTGCTCGGGCAGCTCTCAGTTTACCGCTCACCACAACTTCACAACCCTTTGCACCACTCTCCATAATGAAACGCAAAACACCATAGCAAGCCCGTCTGACGGCCAGGCCATTGAGCAACTTGTATCGGAGGGACTCGCACTGTGCGACGGCAGAGAGACCACGGTTCTGGACTTTCGCGGCATAAAGGGAGACGCTGTTCTCGGGGAACTTGAAGCGTTTCTGGATCAGCGAGGTGAGTTCACGAATGCGTCGTCCTTGTTCGCCTAGGACTTCTTGGGTGTGTGTTGCGCGGATGACTTTGGAGGAAATGCCCCGTTAGTTTTCAAGTCTCACAGGGATGTCTGCTGTCCAATACATCTCCTACAGGAAACGATATGGCGCAGGGGGAGACATACTGATATCAGTGACGGTAGGCGTGACTCGGACCTCAACACCAGAGTAGCCTTCCTCAGCCAGCTCGCGCTGGAAGAACTCGTTGAGTTCGGCATAGAACACACCGTCGGCGACGAACTTGCGACGCTTGCTGATAGCGCCTTGCTGGGTAGTCATGTTGGCGATCTGATCTGAGAGAGCAAAGAGTCGATGTTGGCAAGTTCGCAGTCTTGAAAGCCTGAAGGCCTCTGAAATTCAATGTGGGGGAGGATCTCAATTTCATGCCAAGACAGAATTTTGCAGTTGAGCGAAGTGCGCTACGTACCAGGCCTCAATACTCCGCACAATAAAGTACTGTGGATCATAAGAGCAATGATATGATGGTTTCCACCAATATTGCGTTTGCTCCAACTACATACAACGCTGCGTTTGCCATCCATCCACATGAGGGGCTCGACAAAGAACCTTGATCGAACAGCTCGAAGCATTTATCCATCTCAGCGCAGGCTGACTGCAGCCTCAGTGATACCAGGCTACATACAGAAAATAGTGCTTCACTAGACCATGTGGGTGGCTCCCCAACAATGGTGTTTGGTTTTGTTTGCTGTGGTCGCATTATATGGACCGCTTGATATCACAGCTGGTAAGGAGACTGTCGTCATTTTGACCTTCATATTGTAGCCCGAAGTTGATGAAGCAGAGAGCCGGCCCTCTAGATGCAGCCTTCCGTATGATTGTCGTATTTCTCTTAAGCCATTGTCTGCATTGGATTCCCTTATTCCTGGCAAGCCCTTTGGTGGGTTTTGAAAATGCGGCTGTGGTCAGAAGATCCCTGAGCACAGGCCACAACCTCTCAGGATGACTCACAGAAACACAACCTTCAGACCGAGGTCGTATAGATGACAAAGGTGATTGCCCAGACCGACGTGGAAATTTGTAGAATAGACTGAACACTGTTGACTCTGAAGGGCTCTTTCCTTGTCCTGCAGTTGGCCGCTGTTGTCACTAGATGCTCTCTCCGTTATCGAAAGTGATAATGTTATCACAGTAGAAGAAGGAGTCCTCCGCCTCGTCCCACAGCGCGCGCTCAACCCGTCTCACATTCTGTTGACATAGTATCGTTTGATGCGGGCAGCCATTAGCCCCCTTTGCTGCCATTGTCCACGCCTGGCCCTTCATTGATTGACAATCGAAATGTCTCTGCTGTTGAGTATCAAAGGAGAAGACGCAATTCACAATGCAGAGTCTGCTCTCCACCTGGTCGCTGTTCTGATATCTAGTCAGGTACCCATACTGAAATGCAATGATGTGCGGTTGCTTTCAGTAATTGCTCCAGATGACTTTTCAGTCCTGCTTGTGGTGGACCTGCTGTTGAACTGCTTCAACATGCAACTGGGCCAAGCTTGTTCGCCTGAGTCAAGCCGTGATAGTTTGAGGTATAGGCTTATTGTTGCTCGAGACACCATGTCTCAGTCCATTTATTATGCCTCCTCTTCAGCTGAGCAAATCCTTGTACTGCTGCGTTCAGATCTTTCTCTTCTTTGTGGTCAATTCTGCTAGCACAAGGAGATATTTGGCTGCTGTGGGTGTAGAAAGAAGCTGAACTGAGTAGGCTTTTCATTCGCTTGATCGTCTTGGGTGGACGAAATGCTTTGTTCCTAGTCCAAAGACACAAGTTAGGAAATCCCGTAAATGGCTGAATCCGTGACAGACGTGTAGTCAAATGAATCCTGGTTCAGCGTTGTCCTAGGCCTCCGATACGTGGGCAAGTTAGACTCTGAGAGGACAATGGTCAAGTGGATTCTGCAAGATACCTATCCTAACCTATCGAGGTTGTGGATGAGAAGCTAAAGCACAAAGAGACTCCTGTATATCTCAGTGGACTGAGTAAGAAGGGTTGGGCAGAGGCCAGGCAGATGCCGCGCGCTCCTTCTCATACTCTCTGCCTGCGCCCACGCAACTGAATCTCTGTCGGCGACATCATCGACGTCCGTCACCAAGTCTGGACCCACGACGACATCGTTTCCCCTCGTCAATCGGCCAATCATCCTTCTAGATCGCATCATCCCAGTGACGCCTGTTGATGAGACTCCTGGTCACCGACTGATCCCGCCAAGTTTGATCCGGTGTGGCAGCAGCTTTCCTTAAATATCTCTTCCTCTCACCCTCCCAAAACTTTTCTTTCTCTCTCTCACACCCTCCTTCAACACCTCACTCACCTCACTTGACCTTGGGTTTTCATCAATCTTTCCAGCTGTGTTTACTCTTTGCAGTAAACATGGCTTCTCCTTTCAACACTGCTGATGTGGCATCAGCGCTCGCTGATATCACGACCGCCAACGGTGTCGAGCCTCCTACTGGTCCTCTCAAGAATGAGGAAGCCATCAAGCTTGCTCGGCAATCTGGCTGGGTTGAACCAAAAGCAAACAACTACACCGCCAGAGCACCAACCACGGCTCTCGGCAGCGACCAGGCTCAGTTGGAAGTCGAGGCTGAAGAAAACGATGGTGCTGATGAGGTTGTGGTCAGCAGACACGCAACCAGCAACTGGTCCCACGATGCGGCGAAATACGAATGGAAGGAAGAGTACGGAGATGTTGGCCCAAGAGACGAGAAGCTTGAGAAGGATCTTTTCCGTGGCGAACATATCAACCGCGCTGGCATCAAGTTCGACAAGTAAGTGATGCACTCCTCGTGTGATGATAACCATCTGACTCCTTTCAGTTTGACCACCGTCAAAGTCATGGTTGAATCCGAGACGCGTGTCAACCCGGTGTCTAGTGTAAGTTCATTCATCCTTTCCCGATTCCTTGAATCTTACCTCTATCCAGTTCAAAGATGCTGGTTTGCACCCAGTCATTCTCGAAAACATTGAGCTCTGTGGATATCGCCATACAACCCCGATTCAGGCTTACACGATCCCCGCGGTGTTGACAGGTCATGATATGATTGGCATTGCACAGACTGGTAAGTCTTATCTTGCCCATGCTTCCTCGGGCTTTTGATTGACAGTATTGCAGGGTCTGGGAAAACTGCAGCTTTTCTGATTCCTACCATCTCCAAGTTGATGGGTAAGGTCAAGAAGTTGGCTGCTCCTCGTCCCAATATCGGTCAAGGCTTTGATGTTTCTCGTGATCGAGTCCGTGCTGAACCACTCATCCTCATTGTGGCCCCAACTCGCGAATTGTGCTGCCAAATCTTCGATGAAGCACGACGACTTTGCTATCGCTCAATGCTTCGCCCCTGCGTCGCGTATGGTGGGGCGCCCATTCGTGATCAAGCTGCTCAACTTCAGCGAGGTTGCGATCTGCTTGTCGCCTCTCCAGGTCGCCTGCTCGATTTCATGGGTCGCCCCGAACTCCTTTCTCTGGCTCGTGTTCGCTACACCATCATCGATGAAGCCGATGAGATGCTTCATGACGACTGGGGTGACGAGATGTCAAAGATCATGGGCGGTGGAGGTAAGTACCCATACCATTCGCTTTCTGTTTCGTGTGCTCACCTTGTTTAGATGCCAACACCGATGGCGACCATCGTTATCTTCTCTTCAGCGCAACTTTCCCCAAGCGCGTTCGGAAGCTTGCTGCTAAGTATCTTGCTTCTGACTATGTCCATGTCAGTGTTGGCAGAACTGGAAGTGTGCATGTCAACGTGAAGCAGCATGTATGTTTGGATTCCCCCTCTCGCAGTCGACTGCCACTAACATACTTCAGATCCTGTGGTGCGATAAAGACAAGAAGATGAAAGCTCTTTATGACCTGTTGATCTCGATGCCACCATCCCGTACTTTGATTTTCGTCAAATTCAAGAAGACCGCAGACTTTGTTGACGACTATCTTTTCAACTTGGGCCTACCTTCAACTTCCATCCACTCCGACCGCACTCAGAGTGAACGAGAAGATGCCCTGCGTTCCTTCAAAGGTGGATCGACTCCGATTCTCGTTGCAACTGGTGTTACTGCTCGTGGTCTCGACGTCCGGTAAGCTTGAGATATGGCACAAAAAGGAGACAGACGTGGCTAACACTCTTCAGCAATGTGATGCACGTCATCAACTTCGACCTGCCCTCGGCAGACCATGATGGCAAGAACGAATACGTTCATCGCATTGGTACGTTAGCGTCACCGAAGTTCATTTCGCACAGCTTACCAGATATAGGTCGTACTGCTCGCATTGGTAACGAAGGTCTTGCCACTTCCTTCTACAACGACGGCGACGAAGCCTTGGGCCCATTTCTCACCAAAATCTTGCTCGAGACGAATCAGGATATTCCCGATTTCCTCGAACATTTCAAGCCTGACGGTGGAAATCTGAACTTTGACGAGGAGGAAGAACAGGACTTTGAGGACAATACTGGAGGTGGAGCTGGTGATGCTGGCGGTGATGCTTGGGGGACTGGCAACAATGCAGCTGGTGCTGGTGGAGATGCCTGGGGTGCAGCTGGTAATAGCAATACTGCCAGCAATGCTTGGGGTTCGACAGGCAACAACGCCGCTGCACCTGCGAACGACAACTGGGGTGCATCCACTAGCATTGATGCTGGTGCTGCCGGGGCCTGGTAAACTGGGTTTCTGGTGAACAACCACACTGTCCGCAGACAGTTGTGACCGCTTTCGCCTTCATGATCCCCAGAACTGGATGCTTCTATTTGGTGTCAGGATTTCGAGGAAAAGGAAAAACACATCACAGCAGTTCACACAGGACTGTTGATATTGTCCCTCGACACAGGATGGCTGCTGTACCAGAAAGGACGAGTGAGTGGTTGCGCCTCATCGGTGCGACCCTTTCCACTCGACCTTTTCTCGGGAACGTTGAACAAAGCCAGTTGTATGAGATTCAGACTTGAGAGTCTTCTAGCAAACGCAGAGAGAACAAGATGAAGAAAGCTGCATGAAAGCATGAGTTGCTTCAACGCACAGCCCACGAAACAATTGCCCTAGTGACCGTTTGTTTCTTGAAACAACCCCAGTTCTGTTCCTTTCATCCTGGACGCTTGGCCACCCCGACTACCGACCAGGTGGACGGACTGTGTAGCTGTTCTGAGGAAAGTCGTATCAAGGCAGATAACTAACACCAATTAGGGACTTGGAGGCGAGCACTCACCTTTCGGAGAGGTCTGGGGGGAGGGTAGCGCCTCGTATTTGGGTCATCACCTGTCGAAGAGACAGGCAGGCTTGC